CGGAAAGTTAGTAAAATTATGAAATTAACTTTTCTTTTTATTATTATCAATGACGCCATATATATTAAAAATGCCATTATACGACGTGGGATGATACCCCACTGTTAACAGTAAATAAAGCTATTAATATAGTACCTGCGTGATCTCCTTGTAGAGGTGCTCGAAGCGGTACCTCACGAAGGAGATGTTGAGCTTGGTCTCCGCGTCGGATTCTCCACGGAAGGGAGACACTCCCGACAGCATCACGTACGTGAGTACGCCCAAAGACCAGATGTCCGTCTGCGGGTACGCTGCCTCGTCGTTCACTATCTCCGGCGCTGCAGGGACGTACACACACAGTTTCAATAAACTTCATGTTTCAAACTCTTCTAATAATATTGGCCGTAGTCATTATTTATTAATAACTAGTTAACAATAATTAATTTATCAATTACAAAAATCATGATCACGATCATGATATTGAGTGCACGTAAAAATACAGTGAGTGTAGTTTGCCGAGATGGCTATTGAGCCAATTTCAGTAGCAACAAATGAAGACGTGTGACGAATATCTCTGCCCATAATAATTCAGACAATGATTTTATTACGTATTTGGGTACCCAACAATACCTACAACGATAAGACAAAGTTTTTCTTACAACCTGTGTACATGAACAGCACCATGGACTTTAAAAAATGAATTCGTATTAAAAATTATACCTTCCTTGTAATTTCACTGCTATGTCATACAATTCAGACGGAAATACAGTTTATAATGCAAGCTATAGGCGGCAGAAATAGGTGGTACAGTTACGACGTCTGACGCTGACTTCTATATAATATATCTTACCTTTATATTCCAAGTCACCAACTTGTGGCACGCTGGTCCCCAACTTGGTGACTTTATGCGCCGATCCAAAGTCGACTAACTTGACCTGGATTGACCTGACTGATGCCATTACAATATTGTCAGGCTGCAGGTCGAGGTGACAATACCCTCGCCAGTGTATATACTGTAGCCCATCCAGGATCTGCGTTACAATAGTCGACACCATCTGTTCTGTGTAGTCGTGACGGCTGGAAAGGTACGTTAGGATATCAGCACCTTGCAGCTTCTCCATAATAAGGGCGCTCACAGGTGACCCGTGAGCCTGGTATGCACCCAACAAGTTCGATATCCTCTCGTGCCTTAGCCTTCTTAGGCATTCGAACTCCCTCTGGACCTGTACTTCAGTTTCTGGACGGTTCTCCAATATTTTGGACACAACTACACTGTCGTTTTTCTTGTCGACACCTTTAACTATGATCGAATACTTTCCGCGCCATAATTCAGATATGAAGCTGTATCGTTCCGTGAAAGCGTCAGATGTGTCCCAATCGGCGGGGCTGTCCTCTGTGTTGTAGTTCAATTTCGGCCTCTCCTCGTCGAGAACTATTTCCTGACCGGATTCTGTGAGCTGCTGCAGATGTTTCATGGCTTTAGTGACTTCGATCCTCGCCGCGCCGGATACTTTAGTCTTTATCAGATTAGTCGGTATTCCCTTGTCGCTCCATCCGATTCTATTGCGGGAAGACAGCCTGAATTGATAACTAGTGTCCGATTTTAGGTTTCTAACGACGTAAAATTCATGATCGATATTGTTAGCTACGTCCTTCCATTCGACACTGTCGCCTTCTTTGTACTGAAGACTGTAACAGACAACAGGTGAGTTGCCGTCGTACTTAGGCTGCTTCCACCTAAGTAGCACTTCAGTATCCGAGACATCGGCAGCTGTAGGGCTGTCAGGGGCATCAGGAGTGCTCGCTTCCACGACCCTCGTCCTCGCCACAGTCTGTCCCACCTTGTTCCTGGCGACGACTTTGTAGAATCCTATATCGTGGTGCATAGCGGGTTCGAACTTGAGAGTAGATCTGCCGTCGTCGTCTTCTATTATCTTGATGCGCTGACCTTCCGCCAGGACCATATCGTTTTTGAACCACTGGATCACCGGTTTGGGGTCTCCGACAGCGTAGCAGGATAGTTGGACGTTGTCGCCTTCGCGGATGGGGAGGATCTGCGGTTTCTCGCGGAAGAATGGTAGCTGGCCGTCTTTCTTGGATTCCATGAAGGCCTGTGCTTCTGCGTAGCTGTCGAGACGGGTGCCGAGCTCGTGCCGCAGGCGGCGGATGGTGTAGCTCTCGCTGCCGTAGTTGTTGATGCGCTCGCGGCGCTCGTCGTCGATCTCCTCGTCCATGATGTCCGTGAAGCGGCGTCGCTCGCGGATGATAGGGGTCTGTCAAATCAAATCAAATCAAAATAACTTTATTCATGTGAGTTTATTTCTAACGATATGGCTAAAATTTTCAGACGAATTATTTCGGGTTTATATTATAGTTTCTGGTGTCGACCAAATTTAATCTCACGGTCCTTAAAGTTAAGGTTTTTTGACACAGGTATCAATGTCTCTTTGTGGACAGTTTGTGTGACAAGATGTAGTAGTCATGATGATGGTGGAGTTGTTAGTTGTGTTGTTGATGGTGATGGTGATGGTGGAGTTGGTGCAGTTAGTGATGGCGGATGGTGGTGGTGGTGACTTACCCTGGGGTCGTAGACGTCGTGCACGCTGATGTAGTAGGCGGGCGAGCGGTCGCAGGCCACCTTCATGTACTCGCGCAGCCGCACCGGGAACGATACGTCGCGCAGCTGCAGCAGGTACGTGTCCGGACCGTTCTGGTAACTGCACCACGATACAACATTTTTTTAAAATAAATAATGAAAACTTATTAATCTGGAACAGAAGTGAGCAACTTTTTTTAATCCACGGGATATTTAAAATTTTATCAATTTTTGGCGGGCTGCACATAAAGCAATTCCTATTAATAATGTACAAAATTTAATATATATTAGAATAAAAAAATATAAAATTTAAAAAGTAGGTAAACATTTCTTAAACAGATTTTCATATTGAATGTTGAACATGCAGCAGCATACAAGTACATACACAGACAACTGAGTAAGTCGTCACAAAAAATTGTTTCCGTTTAATATGTACTACCATTTTATTATAATTTATCTTATAATAATATGGGAGAAATTAGAACATACAAATTCAATTATAGAAATGCTTGATGGACCGCATAAACATGTTTAACGGGCCGCTCCTCCCTGATCTAAAAGAAATCTGGAAAAAACTTTGACTTACTGGCTCTCAGACTTAGCGGAGACCTCCCAGTCAGGGTGTTCCCATTGTTTGAACTTCAGGTCAAAGGCTCCTGTGCTGCGTTCGCGGGACCTCTCAGGTGACCCTGGGACAAACAAACAACTTTAATCATCCTAACTCATATCCTCCAATTCTTGTTCATGACGGATCTTCGAACTTTGAAAAATAGCGAGCACAATAGATCTATAAAGTAAAGGACCTTTTTTACGAGAGGAAATGTTTATACAGATCCGCCTTCATGAAGGAGTGCGTACGAATCCAGTGGGATTTTAATCTAGTAAAATCCCTGGGTGTTCCTTTAAATTGCGTTAAGGCCATCAATGAGTGTGCGCTTGCGCAATCGTCCGCACGTCAGCCGCAGATATCCAATGAAAGAACCGCTCGAATGCAGAAAAATAGCAAGTTTGTTATACGAGGATAGGTTGGTCTAACATCTGTTATATCGATGTTGTACTACAGTTTTTATTCACCTCAATATTACGTGCTCATCTTGTTATAACTACCAATATCTACTAATTAATGAAAAGAAATTTTGAACAAATTACTGGAGTTTTTCTGTTTAGAAACTCAAGTCTATCACGCCATGAATCACATGCTATGGGATTAAGGGTCATCTATTGGTAGAAACGTTATATTTTTTTACATAGTTGAAAAGAGGTTGTTCGCAAAACTAGTTCGCAATGTAAAGGTATATTTACAAAAGGTATATTTAAAAATATACCTTTAGTATATTTTTCATTGACTCTAATCAGAACTTCAAGAGGATTATGAAGAATTTTAGATCTAGCAATCGTAATATTGGGGTTCGTTATATTAAGGTTGCATTGTAGTTAAAAAAGAAGATAGAATAGAAGATTTAATAAAAAAAATACACAAGAACAACAAGTATTATTGCACTGGGGTTTCTTTGTCGTCCTTTTACGATAAAAGAATATCTCATGAAGTATAGGCTAGATCTGGTTGTTATTGCATTGTTTCTTCGTCCTTTTGACACAGAGGTATTTTTTCCGAAATATGGCACGCTAACCAATTTTTACGTATAACAGTGTATACCTTCGGGGGTGTAGACTTCCCCTGGCGGGTACACCATCTTGGAGGGATGCTCGAAGGCTCCGCTGAGCGGCCGCCGCCGGAACCAAGTGCGGCACTGCGCGTTACCCGTCCAATCTCTGCAACGCAATAATAATATTTTATCCTTTCAATCCAATGTTTATATTCTACATTGTTTCCTGGTACCTAAACCAAGTAGAAACTTGTATTTTAAATGCAATTTAGTGAGAGTTCAACTCAATTGTTATTTAAGTCTCCTATATCTCCTGGGCTATAATATGAGAGATATCTCCTGGTAGGAGATATTTATATCTCCTAATTAGTTGTTATCACCATAATATCGGCTCTCCATAATAAGTAAGAAACGAAGAAGGATGAAGATAAAAGCAGTTATTGAATGAAAACAGAAAATCGGCTCTTTAGCCAAAACTCCGTAAAGTATGAAATAAAGAAGTACTACTAAACTACTACTAAAGAAGTACACAGGGTGAAAGAAAAAAAAAGAAAAGGAAGATATTGAATACTATAGAATATAGACGAGAGAAAATGTTAGGACACTTGAGACGCCACGTAAGTAACACTCACGCACGGATCAATATCAGCTACATTGATTTTAGAAATGTGTTTGTTAAAATAAAAATAAAAGTTGCATGCACACAAACGAAGACGCAGATGATAGCTGGTACGTAAATAAAAATGTGTATTCCGTAATTTCACTGACACAATATCTAATATTTAAAAATAGAACCTACCTGTACAGATTATAATAATTCCTCAGTCTGTCCGTCGTGATCTGATACTCCTCCTGGTAGATCTTATCCGCCAGAGTCAACCACGGGTGTGAAAGCGCTGTATTCACATCCATACGCTCGTGCCAGTTGAACACCAGCAGCTTCGAGATGAAGTCCCTGGACTCCGTGCTCAGGCGGGACCACCACAACTCGTCGTGCCATTCCCACCGTCCCTCCCTGATCCTTGTGAGGGTCTCCCGGTCATTAACTCCTCGGAAGGGCGAGTGACCGCTGAGCAGGATGTACGTGATGATGCCCACGCTCCACATATCAGCTCCGTAGGAGACACCTTCTCCGCTGGCCACCTCGGGAGCTACGAATTCTGGCATGCCGTAGTCGAGGGCGGCGTGCTTGTTGAATTGAATGCGACGCGAGAGGCCGAAGTCGCAGATCTTCAGTTCATCGCTGCCTACATGCGATAGGAGGAGCTCACCGATCTGTTGATTTAAATGGTTGGTAAAAATTTTGCCATTTAGCAAAATGACTCTCAAAATTATTTAATAAGAATATAGGTAGCTAGATATGGTCAAGCGTTATTAAGTAAGCGAGCCATTACATGCATGTCCACTTATTATTACCTACTTATAATACAATCATAATAATGGCTAATAAGTAATCTCTCAACCTAAAGTCTTTTTTTTAGGATTCCAAGTATCGATTTTTCTTTCAAATTACAAGTACCGATAGCATAAGTCTGCTAAGGAATAATTGTATTAGAAATACAATGTTTTTGTTTCCTTTTTTCTACGTAAATATTATTATCACCAACAAACTCTCCAATTTTATATTAATCTTTTTTACTTAGAAAGTGTTTTCGATACGACATTTGATCTTTTTTTAAGCAAATTTAGAACAGACTCTGGTATTTTGTTGTAAAACCTTACTATATAATACCTTGCTATATTTATAACATTTAGGTAAAACCAGTTTGTTATTAGGTAAGCTTTTATTAGTCTGAGTCTGTAATACAGCTACATGAATAAAGATCTAATCAAAATATGATTAGATTAGATTAGATTTGATTTAATCTAATTTGAATGACACTAACCGTAAGACCAAGATGCGCGACGCTGTTGTCATGCATATACTTCAGTCCTCGGAGCAGCTGCCGAATGTAGCCAGCTATCTCCCGCTCGGTGTAACCCTGACTGCGCAGGAGCCGGTCCCTGACGAGCTCCCCACCAGCAGCCAGCTCCGTCACCAGCGCCAGGGTGTGCTCGTGCTCGTACGCGTCATGCAGGCGGATCAAGTGACGGTCGTTTAGTAAATTCATGATCTCCAGTTCATTCTTCATGAACGGCTTCAATTCTGAATGGCCATGCATTATCTTCGCGGCGTAGTTGCGACCTGTTATGGACATTACGTATTGTGACAAACTGAAAATTTCAGAACTTTAATCTGGTATGAAGAATAAGATATCATGCCACATGTCTAATTTGTAACTATGTAAAGCGAGCTGATTGGCGGCTGAAATAGATGAAACTGAGGTACCCAGCCAGACGATTTGTTACAGTACAGAGGTAGACTAGAAATCCGTCTCATCATCATCTGCTTCTTCCTTATCCCATTTATTTGTGGTCGTCGTAATATGTTTTTCGCTTCCATTCATCCCTGTTCGCAGCCATCGCGTTATTTACTTCCTTTCTTACCATATCATCTTTCACACAGTCCATCCATCTCTTTTTCGGCCTTCCTCTGCCCTTATAACCATCCACATTCAAATGTAACACCTTTCTTAAAATATTATCCTCATTCCTACGCATTACATCTACACTAGAAATCCGTCTACGAGAGGAAATTACTAATTTCACCAGTGGATAAAATTCATATGATATAAAAAAAGATACATGAAGAGGCTTCACATAAAAAAGGCTACCGTATGAAGGAGGCTTCATATAAAAAAAGATATCGTATAAAAGAGGCTTCATATAAAAAAAGATATCGTATAAAAGAGGCTTCATATAAAAAAAGATATCGTATGAAGGAGGCTTCATGTAAAAAAAGCATGGTATACCTGTGAGCCGCTCTGCGGCGTGGTAGACGACGCCCTGCACACCGCGCCCGAGCTCGTCCCCGAGGTCGTAGTAGTCGCCGAACGGTTTTGTGCTCGGTTTCACGCGCGGCGGGTGCTCGCGGATCCTGACACACGGACGCACATCTCAACATACACAATATATCTGAGTATATATCCCGCCCTTAGTACAATACCGGATTAATTAAAAAAATTTGAAATTAGATTCTAAAGATAAGATATTAAAGTGGATTTTCCAATGTTTGTAATTTTTGATAGGAAAGTATGACGAAAAACACATGTATATTAGAAATTATAAGTTAAAATATCAAAATTGATTTTCTAATGTTTATAAATTTTTCCGGATACAAGTATTATAGGTGTGCGATATGGACTATAAAGTTAAGACATAATAAAGTGGATTTTTCAATGTTTGTAATTCATGATTTTTAATCCAGTATTGTATTACCTACTTGTGCGCTAAGTGCGCATATCATATAGACATGGTGTCTAAATAATAATGTAAGTGATAAAGTTATAGTTACATGACGAAAATCTTATATATAAAATTCTCGTGTCACAGTTTTCGTTCCCATACTCCTCCGAAACGGCTTGACCGATTCCCATGAAATTTTGTGAGCGTATTGAATAGGTCTGAGAATCGTCCAACATCTATTTTTCATCCCCCTAAATGTTAGGGGTAGTCCACCCCTAATTTTTTTTTATTTTAAGGTAAAACATAAACGTTTGCCGGGACAGCTAGTAACCTATAGATTTCAACAAACATCTATTCTCAACTATTTAGCTTCAAAATAAACATTGAGTGGTAAGTATATTTTTATGATTCTATCCTCATAAAAATGATATAAACATTTACTACAAGAGATGAGGGTGAGCTCTAAATTTCAAAATCTAATATATCTAAGTATTGAAACACAAAACTTAAACCATTACCAAATTAATAAACAAATTAAAAATTTATTTGTATGAACATAAGGTTTCATTTATTTTGTTGACGAATTTACTCTCTATTGACTCTGTGTAGTAGAAAATGTAATGTATACTTCTCTGCACATTTACCTGTCAGAGTACAGATGCTCGTCTTCCTCCACGTGCAGCATGGCCGAGGAGCTGACTGCACCGGCTACGTTTCGCGCAGACACCGAGTACAGACCCTCGTCCTTCAGGATCGCGTCGTGGATCACCAGCACTGTTGTGTCAGGCTCGATGAATTGGATCTGTAAAGAAGATAAGGTTGAATTTGTTATATCTGATAACTTATTTATTAAAAGAGCAACACACAAGTTTCTTGCTTATTCTTCTTGTGATGAATCTGCATTCCGAATAAGCGGTAGAATAAAAAAACTTGACTATTCAAAACTGCTTATATTAAGTTTATTTGAATAAAGATTATTTCTATTTCTGCTATGATTTATTTTGTTAGCCAAGTAAATAATTATTTACTTTATAATTGGGTCGTCGTTGGAATTTATTATATCTGATAACTATGAGTGATTCATTTTGTTGCTATTTATTTATCTATGTCAACTTTGATAATTAGCAGTTTGTATTCACACGAATTCTGAAAAATTGTTTATTTTATAATGTATACTTAAGAGAGCAACTCTGAAGTTTCTTGCTCATTCTTCTTGTGAAGAATAGTAGAATAAAAAAATATGATTCTTCAAATTTGCTTATATTAAGCTTATCTATACATATAAATAAAATTGGAGTGTCTGTTTGTAATATTGAAATAACCGTTTTTTACTACATGCATATGAATATATATACGGTACATACACCGAAATAACATTTTAAATTTTTGTCAGCCTGCCCGACGGTCTGTTTGTTCCGCTGAAATGGCTGGACCGATTTTGACGGGACTATTTTTGGTATAATAAGGAGACTATATAATATAATAAGGGGTAACTTAGGCTACTTTTATTTTAGAAAAATAAAGTTAAATTCCACACGGACGAAGTCGCGGGAACAGCTAGTTTGAATATATAATCTAGAATACCATGAATATCACGAATTACAGTATGTAATCCAACTATTGACAAATTTTTAAGTGAGAATAAATCATGTTTTTTTTATTTCGTTTTATTCTCTTTTCGATTTTCGTGCTGTTCGTGCTGCATAAGCTAAAAATCAGCTAATCAGCACGCTACAGTTATGCAGCAGAGCTGACAATTATTTATTCTTATTATATAGGTTTAACTATAACTTGATAGCAAGTTTTTCTCTACAAACTGTCTACTTACAATATAAGTTTAGTTTTAATGTCTCCAGATGGTATACAAGTTACCTTAATCCTGGCGCTGGGCGCCAGCGGCTGCCAGTCCTTGTACCACTTGATGTCCGGGTAGGGCACGCCGGTGATCCTGGCCTCCAGGCGGCCGCCGCGGCGCTGCAGCAGCACGGTCTCCTCGGGCCGCCGGATGAAGGCCGGGTACTCGGCCAGCTCCAGTCGTACTCGCTGTCGCGCCTGCCCGTGCTCGTTGGTCGCCACTGCCTCGTACCAGCCCGCGTCGCGCTCTAACATCCTGGGAAGGGTGTGGAGTTCTTTTTTAGAATGGCAATAATATATAGGGCAATAACCTATTTTTTTCTCACAATTTCGGTAGCCAAAAAGCTTAATTTTGTAATGGCAGTGAAATTACAGGGTAAAGTGTAGTTTCGACGGAACGGCAATGCATGAGTGGTATGGAGAATAACTCGATGTCTGTGTTGCTTTATATATATAAATATAAGTGACTATTACCACTGGTCGTCCGGCGGATCAGCTTGCTTGCTCATTCTCAGATTTTAGATATTTTTCGGTTCATTCGTATAATATTTATAATGATTGATCTTAATAATTAACCTATAATTCAATTAAAGTGCTTTATTATTTCTATCTAGCTCCACGGTTGACTGCTAGAGATTTCCATTAGATTTACCATATTGATTTTATTTATTAATTATCGAAAGTGTTTGCCAATACGAATCGTACTCACTTATTAATGAAGAGCGTCGCCTGTCCGTTCCTCGTGTAGCTCCAGTCGTATCTGCCGCCGATCTCGATCGGCTCATCATTGAAGAAGTAGGTCATCTTCGGCTTAGGATACCCGTAGACGAACCAGAAGAGGCTGACGTTGTGCCCCTTGACGCCGTACTGCTTGTCCTGCTCCTGGCGCAGGAAGCGAGGCGGCTGAGCGTGTCCATCAGCGGGCGGTCGCTCCAGGTCGAAGTCTTTCGGGAAGTAGGGCGAGGTCTCGGGCCGGAAGTCGATGTCGGGCGCGAGGTACGGCACGAAGCGCGGCGGCGGCGGCTCGAGGCGTTCCCGCTGCGTGATCGCATACGGCGACGGGTCGCTCACGCCGAACTGGTTCTCGACGCGCACACGGAACTTGTAGTCGCGGAACGGCTCGAGGTTGCGCACGTCACACACGCACGAGCGCAGCCCGCGCCGCGCCGTCAGCCAGTCGCCGTCCGGTACCGAGCACATCTCCACCTACGTCACCGCATCCGGTTACATCTCAGACTATACACGCTTATAGTATATTCTTAAATTTATTTAAAAGAGGATCACGCAAATTTTCCTCTTGTTCTTCTTGTCTGCGTTCCAAAATTATATTCAAAAGTGCTTCTATTAAGTTTATTTGAAGATTACCTACTTCTATTTCTATACTAGCTAAATTGGTTTGCTCACCTCTTGATAGCTTGAAGGAATATATATATAGGTACTATTTCTGATATGACGGTCATGCAGACAAGTCTACATTTATATATCAAAACGTATAAACAGAAAAGTTTTATTTACTTTTGATATTACTTCATACTATGCTATATTAGTAGTATCCTTTATAAGGAATGAAAGTCATTAATACAGCCTAATATAACCCCAATGGAAAGCGCAGTGACATCCTCTAAAATATTAATAATTTTGGGACCTATAATTGAACCTTGTGACAGACCACATGATTTTTATATACACTTCTAGCATTCTAACAGTTTCTAACATTTTATTGAACTACTGATGCTCGCTAGTCCAATTTAATTCACATACTTTCTAATATAATACTTTCATTGTATAAATGAAATATATTTATTTCAACATAGAAAAAGAAAGATTAAAAATTATTCGTTAGTCCTAATACTAACTCTAAAATGTCCTTCTAAATTCTATTACAAGTATAATATAGTAAAGTATTACTCAATCACGACTGAACTTAACAACAAAATTATACTAACCTGATATGTGACAGGGAACCTGGGTCCGTGCGGGATGGAAGGCTTCCACGACAGCGTCAGGTGACGGTCGGCCATTCGCGAGATGATTGGCTTATCCGCGAGAGGCATCGGTACGCCGGTCTTCTTCATCTTATCGAAGTCCGAGTACTGGTCTGCTAGGGGACGCCTGTTGTTCTGTGGCTCCAAAGCTGAGATCACGAATTTCATCATCAGACATTCTAACATTATTATCATCAAAATTATATATGTTAAAGGTATCAAAATATGTATGAACCTTTGATTCGACTTGATTTGAATATGTATCAAAATTTTATATGAAATTTTGATTCGTGTCCATGACACTGATGTGTATCGTAGTATGATTGGTATAGTAGATATAATACTAATTAATTAAGTAATATAATTAGTTAAAAAGTTATTATAATTAATTAACTTTTAGGGTTTATAGATTACATCATATCACAATCAGTTGCTAAGGAATGCAGAAAATTAAACTTGGTACAGTTTATATACGATGGACGACTATTTGTTGTTCTTTTCATCTTGAGTCTAATATAGTCTAAGTCGTATAGTGAACTCGACTGTTTTAACTTAATACTATGACCACCAGGGGCACCAATGAAGAATATGATGAGAATGAAGCCAGACCTATTAACCCATTTAGCAAAATTAACAACAATGGTTTCTTCCTTAAAATTTCTTTATATCCTTTAGATACGGAACCAAGTACAGAAATTCATCATTGTTTCTATGTATATCTATAATTCCTTGAAATTCATAAATTAAGTAATATAATTAGTTAAAAAGTTATTATAATTAATTAACTTTTAGGGTTTATAGATTACATCATATCACAATCAGTTGCTAAGGAATGCAGAAAATTAAACTTGGTACAGTTTATATACGATGGACGACTATTTGTTGTTCTTTTCATCTTGAGTCTAATATAGTCTAAGTCGTATAGTGAACTCGACTGTTTTAACTTAATACTATGACCACCAGGGGCACCAATGAAGAATATGATGAGAATGAAGCCAGACCTATTAACCCATTTAGCAAAATTAACAATGGTTTCTTCCTTAAAATTTCTTTATATCCTTTAGATACGGAACCAAGTACAGAAATTCATCATTGTTTCTATGTATATCTATAATTCCTTGAAATTCATATGTACAAAAAAAATGTAAGGTATAATAATAAGATAGTCGATTCTAACATCATTGTAACACATTGGTGCGAGAGAGAGAGAGAGAGAGAGAAAATAGGATAGAAAATAATTGTACTGACTGTCGTAGGTGAGCTGCGCGGTGCAGGACTCCTCCCCGTGGGGGTTGTAGATCCTGCAGCGGTAGGTGCCCACGTCGCTGGGGTCGATGCCGCTGATGGTCAGCCGCAGCAGGCCGGTCGTCTCCTTGTCCATACGGATGCGTTCGCACGGGAACAGTTTCTCATCGTTGCGGAACCTGATGATAGATGATGAAATGAATGATGAATTTTCATGGAGTAATCTCTTTATTTGTGATATGTTTGATTGCTTAGAAATCATCTTTGATAATGCTAAAAAAAAGGCGAAAATAATCACTGAAACAATAGTTGGAAGATTCACAAACTTAGAATAGAATGAAATAGGGGGAGGGAAAATCTTTTAAAGAGGATGATGGAAGAATGTAGGAAGTGATAAGACCTTCACAGACAAGAGAGTGGCTCTTAAATTATGAATGAATGAGCTCTTAGGTTACCTGCTGCAGATTGCTGAACCATTGAAATGTCCAGGGGTATTATTATTATTAATGCAGTATAAAAAGTAAGAAGTAATGAAGTGAGTAAGATGTGAATACCATTCGACGTCAGGGTCTGGCGTGCCGGTGGCGCAGGCGGTAAACTTGGCGCTCATGCCGCGGTACACCTCCGTGTCGCCGATCTTCTTCAGGAATGCTGGCGGTTCAATTTTCTGCTTTTTGGCGCTGAAATATATTAAATACGATTTTTATTATTTTATAATATGATTCTGATTCATCATCATCATCATCAGTAGGGATCAGCAGAAGAAGATATTGTGTCGAACCTAAATAATGGGACTGGGGCAAGGCAATGGTGATTATTTTAATAGGTACTTCTCTAAGTAACTTAAGAAAAACTAATGCTTGTGTAAGAAAAACAAGATACACACACACATCGTAAAAAGTATCTGAGAAAGCCCAGAAAAGTGTGAGAAACCCTAAAAAGCAAATAAAATGTGACATCAGAAAACTATAATTTTACAATATTAGAATTAAAAAAACTATCTTTATCTCACAAAGTCTCTTTTGTAACATTCTAGAGGTAAAAAAAGAATTTGTTCTTAAGATTTTTAGAGAATAATCATTACTGTCTTTAGAGGAAATTAGTCACAATGACCTATTGCTGGACGGCTCAATACGAGTGATTCTGTGGCGTATATACTGACATCTTGTCGACGACCTCTAGCGTGGCCTCGCAGGTGGCCTCGCCCTCGCGGTTGGAGGCGCGGCAGCGGTAGCGGCCGGCGTCGCCGAGCGTGACGTCGCGCACGTACAGGCAGCACGCGTCGCCGTCACGCCGCACGTGGTACTTATCGCCGGGCTGAAGCGCCACGCCGTCCTTGTACCACGAGATCTCCGGCGACGGGATCCCGCTCACGCGCGCCGGGAACTTCGCGTCGAACGTCGGCAGCTGTGGGGGACGAAATGACAACGCTTTTATTGATTGAAACAAACGTTTAAGCCATTTCAATAAAGTTCTTACGGTATTTTTAGTGTCTTTCGCGATGTAGACTCTTATGAAGAAAAATTGTTCAGGACCTAATATTTTTTATTTAAAATACGACATTGGTAAACAAGCATACAGCCTGTCTGATGGTAAATGGTTACCGCAGCCTATGGACATCGGAAACACCAAGGTGTCACGTGCGTATTACCTTTCTTACGATCTTTAAGAAACCTTAATATATCCTTCTTGAAAAACAACATGCTGTAATGCCTCATAAAAAACCTCGGCGGGTAGTTCATTTCCCGATTTCAGTAAACGAACGCTTCTCTGAAACCGCACTGTCCATAACCACTTAGGTTTTGGACAGTGCGGTTGCCCTGCCAAATTCCCTGCAGTGCGATTATAAAAAGTAGGCGTGGGCATATCGAACTAATTTTCAGGACATAGTCCGTTGTATATTCGGTCAAACCCACAAAGCAATGCGAAGTCTCACCTCAAACTAAGTGGTTCAACGTATAAAGAAGATGATGGAAGATCGTAAAAAGCAAGAACTTCATTAACAAGAGCGTGACTCTCAAATTATGAATATATGAGCTATTACGTTACCTGTTGCAGATCGGTGAACCGCTGCGAGAAGCTGGGAGGCTTGAACACCTTGCGTACTGTCAGCTTACCCTCGGAGCTGTCCTCTCCGAGCGGATTCACCAGTTGCACGGCGTACACGCCAGCATCAGGTGTTTCTAATGGGTTGATCTCTAAGCCCACCTGTTAAACAGCAAAATTATCTTACTAATATGTATTATAAACGCGGAAGTTTGTAAGAGTGGATAGATAGATAGATGTTACTCTTTGATGCAAGGACTAAATTTCACGCGGTTAAAGTCGCGGACACAGCTAGTGTATACATCCTCACGACTGTATTCCAAGATGGGGTAGATAGAATCGTTTTCATTTGTGGATATTATAATTTTTAACGCAACTAGAATTGTAAATAAGGTAATGGCCCTTAGGTACTCTGTAATTTCACAGTAATATTTCACGCTTCAAAATGAAAAAGTAAGCTGCTGTCAGTATACATAGTATATGAACATCTGTCTGTATGTTTGTGATAATCTTAAACATTACTGAACGTATTTTCAAGCGATTTTCATCTAACAACAGAGTAAGTAACATCTGAGGAAAGTTTAGGAATATAATTAATTAAAGGTTTTGTGTAAATTGTTGAAATTTGAGTACTTTCAAATTTACACGTTTTCAAATATATATATATATATATATACTAGCTGACCAGCGCAACTTTGTTTACGTTTCATTTCTCCACCTTTTCAATATTTTTCATTGCAGCTCCGTTCCTATTGATCGTAGTGGAATATTATAAAGCCTTTCTCGACAAATGGGCTATACAACACAAAATGAATTTTTCAATTAGAACCAGTAGTTCTTGAGATTAGCGCCTTCAAACAAACAAACAAACTCTTCGGCTTTATAATACTAGTATAGATTATTCTTCAATAATAGTTGTTGGTTTGACCATCATCTATCTATATATACGACGACGGCCTACTGTGGTCTAGGTTAACTAACCGCTTTACTTTCGGTATGGTCGTGAGTTCCTGAGATTAGCGCGTTCAAACAAACAAACTCTTCAGCTTTATAATATTAAGTATAGATATATATTTATATATTTATCTGGCTTTATATCTTATTATGATTTCCTCCTTTTTTTTTTATCGAATATGTAATATTATGTTAAGTAGTATGTACGATTTTGTGCTGTGTAAATGTTAATAAATGAAATAATATGCACCCTGGGAAGGTATGTGACATCTGAGATACAGTATAATTTTATACTAGTCCAGATGGCACAATTACACTTGTATGTTAAAATTATTGACTCTTATGTACAACTTAATTATGTAACACAACCTTTAACTGCAATAAATATTATTATTATTTATATTTATTTATTTATTTATATATATACAAGGTACGGTTAAGATTTTATACGAACCCTCTTCCCATCGCAAGTGAGCAGAACCCGGTCGCTGGGCATAAGTGGCTTCCCGTCCTTGGTCCAGGTGACCTCGGGTATGGGGTTGCCGCGGAACGGAGCTGATACTGTCAGCGGCTGTCCTTCCTCACCAGACATCTCCCGCAGACCATGGACCAGCTGCGGGCGTTCTTGTGGTGAGGAGTCATCATCACGACCTGTGACAGGTGAAGATTGTATTTCATGTAACTCAACGATGTCACATGTTAACGATATGGTTATAAAGACAGCAATTGGTAGTGTAATCTATATAGATATATATCTACACACATAAATGAAATTGGAGTGTCAGTTTGTAATATTGAAATAACAGTTTCTTACTACATGTCTATGAATATAAATACAGTGCATACACCAAAATAATATTTTTACAATTTTTGTCTGTCTGTCTTTCTGTCTGTCTGTTTGTTCCGAATAATCTCTGAAACGACTGGACCGATTTTGACGGGACTTTTTTTGGCAGGTAGCTGATGTAATAAGGAATAACTTAGGCTTCTTTTATTTTAGAAAATAAAGTTAAATTCCACGCGGACGAAGTCGAGGGAGCAGCTAGTTAAAAATAAAATTAAAAAAATAAAATAAAAATTTTAATTACATGAATTTGAATTTTTTACTATCCAATAATGTTTATATTAAGTTTATTTGAATAATAATTATTTCTGTTTGCTCTTTTTATTTATTTCAGGCAAATTATTATAAAATAATATACTCACTGGCGATGGTGAGTACCGCGTTGCTGGCAGTCTCGCCGCAGTCATTGACGGCGACAGCGGCGTACTGCCCGCCATCTGCAGCGGTGGCCCGGTCCAGCAGCAGCGCGTGAGTACCGTCCGGCTGAGACACCACACGCACACGCTGACCGTCCGGTACCACTTCCACGCCGTTGTGCGTCCTACCACATGTATTTTAGAAGATAAACACTTTCATACAAACACAAATTTGGATCTATATACCGAACTGGACGGTAGGGAAAAAAATTCTAAAGTATAAAGCGGCTAAAATGTCCTACATAAATAAATGATTTTTGAATTTTGAATTTTGAATTTTGAATTTTGAATTTTGAATTTTGAATTTTGAATTTTGAATTTTGAATTTTGAATTTTGAATTTTGAATTTTGAATTTTGTATTTTGAAATATCTTATGCCTGAAAAGGATTTACAGGATTTTCTTAAATATGGTTTTGATCTCGAAGTAAAACACTTCATCTGGTGGCAAAAGATGGCGAGATCTAGGATGACGCGGACTTATCTAGAAGAAATCTGTTCACCTTAGACTTAAAGAATCCTGAGTTGTATTTCTCCGGGAATACGATGGAAGCATGTCCCACTCTTTGACATTACGTATTAGAAATGATGACGCGAACCGCATAGGGTGAATATGAGGAATTTCCAGGAGTGATGAAGTTCAGCTGGTTCAGCTAATTTGACATGACAAACACTCTAGTGTTTGTCATGTCAAATTAGCTGAACCAGGGGGAGAAGAGATTATTAGTAAACTGAACTAATGATCCCATTGCTAGGAATGTACCATGTCAGGTTGGCCTCAACGTGTTTTACCCTGGAAACCATCGTGATAAATTCGTGATGATTTGCCACAATGGGTTAACTGACCTGACCTCATGCTCATCTTAGCATAGTTCGCTATTGCTCCGTTAGCGTAAACCGCTAGCGCAAGCAGGAGCACAATTCCATTATAATACATAGGTAAAATTCATTCATCAGCAAAAGAGACCGAAGTCTTACCATTTGATGGTGGGCTGCGGGTGTCCGAGGACCTTGATCTCCAGCTTGGCTGGGAACCCTTCGATCACCTTGGCGGGTTGCAGCTCCGCGATGAACGCTGGCTTGCGCTCCCTTTGTTGCACTTCCACCTTAGCTTTAGACGCCACCTGCACGACACCACCATACACATCAAATAAAATATATATACCCAAGTAATTTTTAAACTTTAAACTAAAATTTCAATTGAGTTTCTTGCCAGTTCTTCTCAATTGAATCTGTAACTGAACTGGACGGTAGGGAAAAAGTTATAATAAAAAATTGGACGTTTATAAGCGGTTAAAATGTCCTGAGGAAGAATGACTTTTTAATTTGAACTTTATCCAGTGTAGTTCTCTAGGGGTTTATTTTACTAACACCCCGAACTACCGAACTTAGTCCTATCAAAGGTAACGTTCAAGTCACTACACCTCTTGGGATCAAAGCTCTCCCCGCTCTTTTCATCCCTAAAGGTGTAAATCTGAGTAGTCAATTTATATGCGTTCGAAATGGGAGCGAGAGGTATACCAGCAAAATCAGTCTAAAATCTTCTAAAGGATCTTGGCTTGTCTAGAACTGTAGTAAATTCCATGGTATACTAGAACGTGTATCTAAAGCAGACTCCTATCATATTTGTCTGGGCCGGGACAGAAACATGAGAGGTGAAGGTGAGTGTTGATACGTCGGGAAGTTTTCGGTCAGACCGAGCAGTTCTCGGGACTCATAAACAAGTCCCGAGAATTCCGAGTTTCCGTCTCTGCCACACGATGGACCCGAATCTCGCGTGGTGAATACATGGAATGTTAAAATGTTTATAGTGGTGGAGTGGTGGTATACCTCTCCGAGTTTGTTGGTAACGGTCAGAGAGTAGAGTCCGGCGTCCTCGGGCCGGCAGCTGTCGATGCTGAGGCCGACCACGCCGCCCGGCTGGTTGATAAAGTTCACGGCCTGCGACGGACGCACCGGCAGACCTGCACACACAAACGTACATACACACTTATTTATTTTATTTATTTATTTAATTCAGGCTACATGGCCCATATTATAAATACCTTACAGACTAACATACATAAGAAATAATAATAAAATATGAAAAATAAAATTGTCTCTATGGTCACGGCACTGACGACGGCAATCTGCCAGGGTAGCGCCGATAGACCATTTATATCTTTACATACTATAAAATGACGTTGCTTCCGTTGTCTGAACGCTTAGATCTTCTAAATTACGCAATGGATTCTAATGCAGTTCTAAGCAATAGATAGATTCAAGAGGAAGGTTTATATTGTATAATACATGTACACCCGTGCCAGGATGCATAACTAGTCTAAATATTTATAACTCAAAGGTGACTGACGTAGTGATCTATCAACGCACAGCCCAAACCATTGGACGGATCAGGCTGAAATTTGGCATGCAGGTAGACGTAGGCTAAGAAAGGATTTTGATAAATTCCACTCTTAAGGGGATAAATTAACGCGAGCGAAGCCGCGGGCAAAATCTAGTTATTGTATAAAGAGGAAATATTAGATTCTTTATAATGTAATGGATAAATTAAAAATAAAATCTTTACATAGTATAAAACAAAGTCGACGATGCTATCTATTCACTTTTATCTTTTAAATTACGCAATGGATTTTAATGCAATTTTTAGCAATAGATGTTATCTGTGGGAATAGATAGAGTGATTTAAGAGGAAGGTTTATATGTATAATACATGCGTGTTATAGTATAGAAAAAGTCGAGAAATTCGAAGATTTGTAACGCATCCGTGAAAATGTAGTTGTCAAAGTGCCAATGGGTTTCATGGTACATTTTTCATTTACTCAAATATACTTAGTATATTTTAAATGGAAAAATCAACTTCATTTTACTTTAATGATTTTTCGTTACATTGTAGTTAGTAAAATGTAGTTGGTTTGAACAAAATTATGACTAATAATGATGAAACCATATTCTATGCAGTACTTACCATCTTTGAACCACTTGATCTCTGGTGCTGGGAACGCCATCACCCTGGCCTCCAGTTTCAGGGGCTGTCCGATCACAGCTGTCATGTCCTCCAGCTCCTTGCTGAACGAGGGTTTCCTTGGCGTAGCTGGTCAAAAGAAATCGAAAATGTCTAAATTACAGACTATATAAATATACACTAATATATTAATTATATACTTTTACTATTAATATAATGTAATAGTAATTATACACTAATAGTTACATATATTCTTAAATAAACATTATATTATTATAATATGATACTGTCAAAATAATATTGAACATCCACAAACAGTTATCATAAATAAATGTTATATACTTATTAATAAATATTACATATTTGGTACCATTGATTCAGAATCAACGAATTTGTCGCATAAGACATAAATAAAATCCAATTCCATTAAACTAAATTTTTGTTAATACGAATAACAAAAATTTAATTAATAATAATAAAAATAGTCAGGTTGACCTCCACGCGATATATCGCGTATAGCTTAGAAGTATAGTAAGGTATACCTTAGAAATCATCATGATAAAGTCTTGGTGAATTTGCCACTAAAACACTAAACCACACATCTTATCATCGTCCACTGGTGCCGCCAGCGTATACCGTTAGTGCTGGCGGGTGCACAATTCCCTTATAAAAAAACTTACGGTTAACGGCAACTGCGCAGAGAGCGGAACTCTCCCCGTGGGGGTTGGTGATGACGAGCTTGTACGCGCCGCAGTCAGACGGGGTCACATGTTCGATGCTCAACCGCACCGTGCCGTCGGGCAGCGCGGACTGCTGCACGCGAGGGTCGTCTGCGGGCAGCTCCACACCGTCCTTGTACCTGGTACATCAAGCTCATATTCAGCAATATTACCTGACTATCGACAAATGAAAATTGAAATCTTTATTTGAATAAACTTAATATAAGCATTTGAACATTTGGATAGTCACATTTTTTTTATCACTACTTAGCGATGACACTGACTTTTGTAATAATTATTGTATTTTTCTTGTAATTATATTAAAACCATTTTTTAAGGCTAGCAAAGTAATACTAGTAATTTGTGCTCACCACTTGGCGGCGGGCACGGGGCTGCCGTCCAGCTTGGCCTTGAGCACCAGCGGCTCGCCCTCGTCCACGTCCTGCTGCCGCGGTAGCTTATGCGAGAATCCTGGGGCTGCCCGCCCCAGCGATACTTGCGCCTCGCACTGTGCAGACCCTGCCAGACTGGCTGCTTCCACGCGGTACTGTTAAAACATATCAGTGACTTCAACATTATAATAATACAGACGGTTCAAAACTATATATTTTTAATGGATGATAATGTTATGATTCATCCGTCTGCGCTAACGGTTTACGCTGGCGGGATACCAGTTAAGATGATAAAAACCACTTTCAAATGAATCATGGTTTATGAGAACAAGTTCCATAAAATACTTTATATTCCTATCCTTATATCTATATCAGAATAACACATAGGCTACAAATTTCAGACGGATTATGCGCACCGGCAGTTTTCTGGGCACAGCCTAATAAATAAACAAAACAAACTTACTTCTAGGAGACTTGGAGTAATAACTTACCTTGCCAGCATCGCTGGCTTGGAACCGCTTGATCTCAAGTTCGCTGTCGACCTGCCCGCCGACGACGGTCCGGACGGTGTGGCGGTCGTCGTCGGCCACCGGGCGACCGTCGCGGTACCACGTCACTTCCGGTTTGGGCACACCGTCGCAGCGCACGCGCAGTGTTACATCCTCCTGGTCCTTTACCGTTTCATCTTGCAGCGGCTTCGTGAATATAGGCTCGCCGGCTGTCAAAGAAAAATAATTCTAATTTGCCGGCTATAGAATAGAAAATCCTTTATTCCAATAACTTTTTGAATAGTCATACTTTTTTTTAGTCTACCATTACGCTCATGCGGGAAGCTATCTCATCACAAGAAGAACGAGCAAGAAACTTGCGTGTGCCTCTTTTTAATAAATGTTGATTATTAAAGATAGTGGTACTTTCCGATTATCCCTAATTCGATGTCGGCACATTAGAAATAATGTTAATAAAAATCTCCGTACGATTCACACAGCGCCATCTAGTCTCAAGATAAGCAGAGTTTGTGTTATGGGTATTAAATAACTGATAAAAATAAATCGATATTTTTTTACTTAAAAAATAAATACATAAAACAAATAATATACATTCAAAACATCCAGACCGATTCAAATAATCATAGTTATGAATCCAATGTTTGCACTGTGCGAGGAATCGAACCCACGATCTTCGGAAGTTAAGGTGAGCTAAACTGCTACACCACGAAGGCCGTCGAAACACATTATTTACGAATACGTACTGTGTACGGTAAGTCTGGCCTGCTGGGCGGTCTCTCCGATCTCATTGGTGGCGGTGACCGTGTACACGCCGGCGTCGTCCACGCCGACCTTCTTCACCACCAGCCGGTAACTCTCGTTGGCTTTATCTTCAACTATATCGTACCGGGACGATGGCTGAATGGCGTACCCATCTTTGCTCCTGTAATTTTGTACATGAGCTATTACACACGATCCTTCCTTCTCCTGATGAATAAATGTTCATTTTGTTTATTAATCATCATTGCCTTGCCTTATCCCATTATTTGGAGTCGTCACAATATGTCATTCTCTTCCACTGATCTCTATCGGGCGACATATCTGATTATACTCTCCTTTCATTCATATCATCTCTCACACAATCCATCCAGCTTTTAGGACGTCCTCTCCTTTTCCATCCATCCACATTCATATAATTTATTAATATTAAGGAAAATTATAATCAGGATATTAAGATAAAGTAAGAAAAGAAGAAGTATTCTGTGTAATACTTCTTCATTTCTTACCTAATCTTTGTAGTCGGTAAAAGAAAAAAGACAGCCATTGAACACTATAGAAAATAGACGAGGAAAAATTTACGGACACTTGATACGGCACGATGAATTAATGAAAATTATTATTGAGGGAAAAGTAGAAAGAAATAGGAGGAGAAGAAGAGAAGCACAGCTACATCAAGCAAATTAAAGACACAATTGGAGTCGTGTCGTGTCAACATTTAAGGAGAATGATGGAAGATCGTCGAAACCGGCAAGAACTCCACCAACAAGAGCGTGGGTCTTAAATGAATAATGACACTAACCACTTCACTTCTGCGATGGGATTGGCTCGTATGTTGGTGACGAAGCTGGTCTCCTCGTAGGGTACTGCGGTGACGTCTTTCAGGCCCTCGATCTCTGGCCGCAGCAGGATGTCCAGCCGCGCCGAGCTCTCGCCCACACCGTATTTGTTCTTAGCTTGGATTGTGTATACACCAGTATCAGCGTGCCGACCTGATGATACATTCAAACATTATTTTTACAATTCTTATCTACAATAACCCTATTGCTAACAATGTAGCATGTCAGGTTGACCACGCGGTTTCCGTTAGAAATTATCGTGATAAATTCCTAGTCACGATCGTCTAACTGACTTGCTAACTTAACCATTATTAACATAACTGATGGCTCATCTTATGATCCTTCTTTTTTATTTTTTTCTTCTTCTATTCTAGTAACAGTTAAATTCACAGCAGATCAATTATGGACTCTGTTAGGCAAAGCAAAAGAAAAGAAGAGAGGAGGACGAGTTTATTGTTATACAATTGTAATTGTATAAAAAAATCAAACTCCATTGGTGTCCGTCAGCGTAAACTGATAGTTTGTGGCGCTTCCAATATCGTTGTCAGGTTTCCGTTCTGAATATTTGTGGTCTCACGCATGCATCCATAAGTCCATCTCTGGTCAATATTATAGTACTAGAAGAAATAATCGTTAAACTTCCGTTCTCTTTGAACAAAGGAAACAGTAACCTGTGGGTATATTCAGAGTAAAGGTGCACTCCTTAAGTCCATGTTCGAGGTCCTTGGAGTCAGCGCTGGTGAGGACGGTGGCGTCGGGCGTGATCTCCTTGCCGTTGAGCAGCCAGGCCACGTGCGGCAGGGGGTCGGCCGTGCACACCGCCTTCAGAGTCACAGGCTCCCGCTGCAGCACGCGCTGCGCCTCCAGCGGGCTTGTGAATATCGGCTTGCGGTACTCGCTCACGGCTGTATATACACACAAAAATCATTAATCATACAACCAATTTACTAATAATAATGATATTAATGACAATTTCCACAGTGCTGTTTAGTCCTAAGTTAAGCAGAGCTTATATCATAGGTACTAGCTAGACAACTTGTACCTGTACCACCCATAACATAGACTTTGCTTTGCTTAGCTTGGACTTGCGCTATGTGAATTGCCCAAAAATATTATTTGATATTATTACCTACCGACTAATTTAAAAAGGCATATGAATAAAATATGAGTTTCAGTAACATAATAGTTGCTTAACTATATAATAATTGAGTGATTGTTACTTACGGGAAACAGACAAGTCAGCCTGCTGCACCTTGGTTCCCAGATTGTTGGTGATCTCGCACTGCCACTTGCCAGCATCATCCAAGTTGACGCTATCGATGAACAGCCGGTAAACACCGCTTTCTTCGGAGATGTGTACCCGTTTGCACGGCTTCACCTCTTTGCCGTCGTGAAGCCAGCGAACTGTAGGCTTCGGGGAGCCGGTAGCTTGCACAGTGTACACGAGAGGAAGAGATTCGTATACGTGTCCGTCTTTCATGCTGCTGTCTTTTATTGTGGGGGGTGCTGGAATTGTGAAATCGGTGGATTAGTAACACTACAATAGCTTAATGTGAGAGCGATAGCATTAAGAAGTCTTGAAGAATAGAAGAAAATTATAATTTACAATGTACAAAATAAATATGTAGACAAATCAAATTTTTCATTGCAAGAGAAGTTGTAGAATTACAAATCCGTTTAACTGGAACCTTTTATAAAGCAAAATCGAAGCACCTAAAATAAAACATGTTCATTATTCACAATAGAAATAAACATAGAGAAGTCGCGCAATATGTACAGCAGTTATTCGGAATTTTATTGACTATGTTCTTGCATACTTACCAATACGCGTGTAAGACAGTAAGATATATTGTGATGTATATTCATAATTGTGTATGTACGTACCATTTTGTCGAGGATTTTGGACTACAGATAAAATGCAAGTAAGGTAAGCATGCTATTTTTTGCATTCATGCATTTGGGAAAAATATAAAAAAATTACCTGAATGATGTGATAATCTGTCGGCCGCGTTTAGCATCTCTGCCGCAACGTCCAAAGATTAGTATGCCAGAAGGGAATGTTATTACGCATGCGCGCTAAAACAAACATACGACAGAGTATTAGTTAAGTACAATGACGTAACAAAAAGAAGATGAGTGCTTATGACCTGCTATTTTTGAAAGACACTTTGATATTTTACTTTCTTTTTATAATAAGCAAAATTTCTTTAAATTTCTCTTAGAGATAGAAATTACAGATCATAGTCAAACATCACCACCAGCAATTTCAGACTTGTATCATTAAGCAATTTATGTTATTTCCCCCCTTCATCGACAATGCTTAGCGTTATTGTAAAAATATCAGCCTGTTTCGTAACGAATCCTCTTTGTATTATCTTAGTTAGGTACTTGAAATTTACCTTTTTCATCTTCCTCATTAAGTATTTCATCAAGAATGCTTCTTTGTCTCTGACTACGTCTTAACAGCTCTTCTAAATCATCATCTGCTTCCTCTTCTACGCAAAATAATTTATTTGAATGCTTTTTCTTCCTCTCAGCAGTCGTTTCTGTTGTGTTTTTCGTTATATTTTCAGGGATTTTTGGAGGACCCAGAAGAAATTCCTCTATAATACGATTTTTAATATCATGAGTTTTATTCTCGTTTTTATTTTCGTTTTCGTCAAACTCTTTCGAAATATTTATTAATTTTTCAGTTATGTCATTCTCGTATATTTTTTGTGTTTTTTCTCTTAACACGAATGATTCCTCTTCGCCCTCATCTGTGAAGTAGTCCTCTTTAAATGATGATTGTCGCACATAAGAGTCTTTGCTAAATACTTTTCTACTTTCGTCTATGTCAAAAATAGATTTTGACAGGTCTTCAATGGATATTTCTCGTGACAATGTTTCATTTTGCCAACTCGTCTCATCTTCAGATACTGACATGATTGAAACAGATCTATTGCTGTGATTTCTTCCATACCTTGAGCTATTTTCGGCTTCAGAGTCCGTTTGTGGTTCTTCGATTATTCCATAAGTACCTCGTCTTATATGATCAGGTACAGAAAATTGACCCAATTCAGATAAGAAATAGCTATGACTCGCTATTTCTTCAACCTCTAAAGAAGTTGTGTGTGGTTTAGTGGGCTGAATTAGTTTTCTGCCATTATAATCATCATCGTAATAAACGGCTGTAGATTTCATTTTGTGTAAAGTGCGCGTTTCGGCTGGACCTACCAGTTAAAATAGTAATATGATGAATTTTTCTATAACAACTACTTACTATGTATAATTAGACATGCGATGGGATTTAACGCGTTAACTATGTATTTCAATCTATAGATAATGTTTTATAAGCAATACTATGATGTTGAATTAATTATTTGACTAATGGGGTTAGTTAGAATTGGAAAGAGAAGGTAGTAAGCTGTATACTGACCTGTTATTATAGCGTCGTGAGACCGAGTGCTGCTTACTTTTGACATTATTATAGACCCGTCTTCGCCCGTCTTGAATGTAGTTACTGTTTGGAAAACTCGGCCTAAACATAACAAATCAAACAAGCATTGTTAAAACACAAGTTAAAATCATGCAACACTGTGTGCAGAATGTGAGATTTCCACTAAGTATAAGCTGTTGGCGAAATTGAAGAGAGAAGCTTTAAGCACGTATTTTTTATACCTTCAGTTTCAGCACTCAATGGTTCTTCTTGAACAGAATGTTTTTTGACAGATTTACGTTTTGGGGACTTCAAATCTTCTTCAATAGAAACCTCTTCAATTATTTCTGGTTTTGTAATACCCTTTTCACCTGTCTGTATTTCGCCATCTACCTCTTCTATTAGAATCTTTTTGTTCTGTTCATTGTGGTTTTCATCCCATATAGATTTCTCTTCAGCGACATCTGGTTGTGTTACCGACTTTTTGCCCTTGCTGCTTGCTGGAGTATCGATTTCTTCAACTACAGGTTTCTTTTGCCTTCCATCATCATCCAGATCATCCCAAATAGATTTCTCCTCAGCTGTTATTGGTTCAGTAATAGACTTTCTCGCTTTGGTAGCCTTGGGAGTGTCGACATCTTCTATATTTGCTTTTTTAGCGACTCCCTCATCGTCGTCGTCCCATATTGATTTTTCCACAGCTTCGTCTGGTTTTGTTTTTCCTTTCTTTGCAGTATGTTTTCCACCAGTATCCACCTCCTCTTCTATTAGCCGTTGTTTCGATTTACTCTCATCTTCGATTTCATTTTCGACAATAGCTTCCTTTGATAATCTCGAATGTATTTCTCTAGCTATTAAATGGAATGAAAAAAAGGTTACGATAAAACATGGTATATTAAAAATGGATATAATGTATATTAAGGACGGCACAAGTGAAGGGTGAAGTAAATGCAGGATAAGGTGCATTAATGTTTCCAAGTGCAAATTACAGCATTCTAGTCCACTGAACGCTTACATGAGTTTGTCAAAATGATTTTACCAATTCCTTATGGTATCTAATGGCATTACACCCAAATTTTACGTGCGAAAAATGCAGTAGTAATCTAAAATTCAATTAATTCTATGTTAAACCAAACTACTACTTTACCGCCTTCCAGCGATGTGCCTTTGTCAGTGTCGAGTTATATTTTTAATTGTTTTGTATCGACAGCTGTATTGTATACATTACCATGTCGCTAGAGTGTGTGATGTCTGTAGTGGTCTATATTAAACTGCATTCTGGAACTTTTTGCTTCCACGGCTATTTATTAGAACAATGGCTACTTTTATAATTTTCCGTTGAACGGCACGATATCCTACGTTTTTACCATCGTTACACTATATATACTAGCAAAATGTATGTTCGCATAAATAGGCTTTTAACTTTCCAGTACAAACGTTATATCGTGCATATCCATATATGGAATATGGACGTTGAAGGTCATAACGGATAGTAAATTATAAAAGCACGTAATACGTTTTCTTAAATTCGATTCTTCAATTTTATTCAACATGGTTCATCACGTGTGTTGATCTCTGATCATCATGATTCCTCGTGTGTTGTGATACTCACTGTGCACAGTGACCGTGCTCTTGGAGGAGACGCTGCCAAATTCGTTGGAAGCGCGCACTTCGTACTCTCCACCATCCTCCTCCTTTACCAGCGTCACTGTCAAGTGGTAATTCTCCAATCTGTGACAAAATAAGAACCGATTAAATTAGTTTTTTTTTATTCTTACACAAATACCCGCAGGGTATTTTTTAAGGAAAAAAAAAATGCTAGAGGAAGTCAATGATACATAATTATTCTGCTAAATAAAAATTGAAATACGAATACATTTTTCTATTAGAAATTTTCGAAAAATACATTTTATTCAATATATTAGATTAAAATTAAATTAAAAATTAAAAAAAGCCTTTTTATTTCTTGAGGTTACATTTTCGACACTATTTGTTAATTTATATTCAAGATTTTTATTATTATTATTATTTACTATATGTTATTATTAATCTATTTGAATATGTATTTATATATTTACATATATTTAGACAAGAACCCCATTTTGGGTAAAGGCCTTCAAAGATGTCCATTTGTTATAAGCCAGCTACTCGTTTGATATCATCCTCCCAGCGAGTCAAAGGTCTTCAATAGCTATAAGGATTATAAATCAAGAATATACCAGTTTTTGTAAACTGACCTCTGCGTATCTCTTTCAATCTTGATTCTAGCATCAGTAGTGACTTCTTTACCATCCTTGTACCACTTGACCTTCGGTTCTGGGCAACCTTCCACTTCGACGTCCAGTTTCAACGTCTGTCCAGCATCTACTGATATATCTACCAGACTCTTGGTGATGCGAGGCTTCCCTGGAAATAAATATTTATCACATTTATTCTAAGTAATGTAAGACATGAAAATATTTCTTAGAAAAGTCCAGGTACATTCGTCATTTCTTAGAAAGAAATACAGTAAAATAAATTCTTTATTAATAAAATTATATCTTGCAGTACAGAGTGCCTTGTGGTAAAGACCTCCTCTTAATTCTTTCCCTTGTAGAGTATTTGGTTTCTGCCCTTCTCCAGTAGGGGCCGGCTGTTATCTTTATTTCGTCTTCCTGACCGTCTCTGTGATCGACGTCTTTTTCTTTTTTTTCTTTTACTAAGAAGAATAATGAAATTAAATTCTGACTTACTGTTGACTGTGAAGGTAGCTTCGCAGGAGTCAGCGCCGAGCTCGTTGGACACCTTGCAAGTATATTTTCCGGAGTACTCAGCGGATACCTCCTTGAGGATCAGCTTGTGTGTACTGCCGCTGTCCACCCGAGTGAACACCGACTTCTTCTCAGTTATCTCCACGTCACCCAGGTACCTGTAATCGTACAATGTATACCTGGAGTATATGTGGGAAAGAGAAGGATTATGTCTTCTCTAGCGCACACTACTGGCGTTATGCGGCAGTGTTGTGACTGTGAGCCTTGAGCCTGAACTTATATTATAACAAAATAAGTTGTAATATACCTATATTAATAATTCAGAAAAACAAGCTTTGCAGTTGCAAAAGTCGTTAAGTTTAGTTCGAAATTAAATAGAGAATATCATAAGTATAATCCTCTCCAAAAAGTCTAATTGATACTTGGCTTCTTCTATCTGTAACTGCATTGACGCTGTGTAAAATGTCCAGGGATATTTTTTTTAAACTTGCATGCAGATAATAATTAAACAGTTGAGAAAAATGGCAAGAAATTAAATTATCTGTTTCGCTACCCATTCCAGCGTCGAACGGGTATATATAAGCCTACTTCTTGAATCATTCTATCTATTGCTAAAAAGTACATTAAAATCCGCTACGTAGTTCAAAAGATCTAAGCGAACAGACAGCGGAAGCGACTTTTTTTTACTATGTAAAGATAATTTTCATGACATGTATCAAAAGTATAGTACATAAATGTTACGCCGACCCCAAATAAATGGGATAAGGAAGAAGCAGATGATGATGATGAAGGAAGAAGCAGATGATGATCAATAGTATAGTATGTGAACTGACCACTTGACGGCGGGCTCGGGGTAGCCGTCGACGGCGACGGTGAACTCGACGTTGGTGTCGCCCTCGGCGGCGGTGACGTCACGCAGCCGCTGCGTGAACTGCGCCGCGCCGCGCACGCGCAGCGAGCACGCGTCCGACGCGTCGCCGTGCGGGTTGCGCACCTGTGACGTCACATCCGTTATGACTAGATCTTTTTTATATATACCTGTGATACTACGATGATGGTAGTAGCCTATGGACGCCTGAGACACCAGGGGTGTCATTTGTGTGTTGTCGTTACGTTAGGCTCAGTTTATATCAGTGTTTCTCAATTTGGGGGTAATTTTATTGTTAAGGGGAAATAGGACATTTTCATTATATCTTTTTAAAATTTTAAGTTATTACAATCTCCTAGTGATTTTTTCTTGAAACCTATATATACCTATATATAGCTTCTTAATGATAAGATCATATTTATGTTTTTTAATTATAGCATAAATACAAATGAGCTTGCGGCTCACCTGATGCTAAATGATTACCATCGCCTATAAACACGCACAACTTCAAGGCGAGTGCGTTGCCGGCCTTTTAAGAAGTAATAAGTTCTATTCTCGAAAGTTTTAATATCGTATCGGTTCGGAAATATCATTGTGGTTGTGTTTTGGTAGTAGTAGACTTACATATAGCGGAGCTTTCTATACAATGTATAGAAAGGTCCGCTGTATCCTCCGCTGAGGAAATGCAGGCTCATGTTAACATACCTCGCAGGAGTATTCCCCGGCATCAGCGCGAGCAGCCGACGTGATGACCAGCGAATGCGCTTCTCCAGACGATGAGATCTTGATCGCAGTAGACTCTACCAGCTCCGTTTTGTTCTTGTACCTGTCAATTTCAAAATATTTTTCAATATCATGGAAGTGAGGTGAAGGGAATTGTTAGTAATGTGGACTGATGACATCATCGCTAGCAACGACCTGATCAGGTAGACCCTTGTGCGGTTTTTCGTGGAAACCATCGTGATAAGGTTCTGGTGAATTTGACCTGACCTCATCTTAACATCTTTCACTGGCGCCCTGCCCGTGTAAACTGTTAGCGTAGGCGGATGTACCATACCATTAACATCCATAAAAACAACACCAAGAAATACAAACAATCATACTCACGAATACAAATGTTAAACAAAATAATATAAGTAGTGAAATGACACCTAACAAAAACAAAATAACACCTAATTTGATTAAATATATCCAAATATTTGTACCGTGCGAGGAATCGAATTATCGACCATCGGAATTAAGGCGATGTGTTAAACTGCTGGATCACCGCAGCCATCTTTATGAGGGAATAATGTTTTTTTTTATACTACTATGGTGGCAAAGAGCCATACGGCCCATCTGATGGTAAATACCGTAGCCTATGGACGCCTGAAGCACCAGGGGTGTCACGTGCGTGTTGCCGACCCTTAAGAAACCTTAATGATTGCTCACCATTTAACAGTGGGCGCAGGCTCGGCTTCCGTCTCTATCTTGAAGGTGACGGTCTCTTTCTCTTCGCAGACCTTGGTGTCTCCGAGCTTCTTAAGTATACGCGGAGGTGATGTTACGTGCCACTGCCAGAAGTCCGAGCACTGGTTCACCTCGTTCCTGAACATACATCAGCATATCAGTAATTCCTCATTTACTATAGTCTGTTTCTTTATCTCATAGGCCACTTTGACATTACCTATGTTGCCAGCTTTTTGTGATTCTTAAATAGTGTTGTGACACAATCGCGAATTAATATTAATTAGCAATTAATATCGATTAAACTCAAATAATATGTGCCTGTTCATACTCGTGAACAAGTGCTGCCTATAGGGACTGGTCTGCTCTAATCACTACGACTGATTTACTTTTATTTAGTTACTCAACCAGTTGGTTGTATATTTAATATTTTGACTGGAATGAATTAGTGCTAGTTGGTAGTTTGTATTCACACATTTCGATTTAAAAATGTAAACTTACAATAAATTATTTAAAAGAGCTACACGCAAATTTATTTTTTAGTGTTCTTGTAATATGACCGCTTTCCGTATGAGCGTTAGATTAAAAAAATAAGCAATGACAATTCAAAAGTTCTTAAATGTAAGTTAATTAAATAATGATTTCTCTATTCTATTCTATTTTTATGATACAACCATATTATTATAATTATCATTATTTTATTATAAATAAAAATAAAAAAATATTGCTATTCAAAGTGCTTATATTAAGTTTATTTGAATAACTATAATTTCTATTATATATAACATCTAGATGAATTTATTTCAATAAGTCGACCGTCGTCGAAGAGTTTGGTCCTTCGAGCCGGATTTGAACCAACGACGTATATATTCTATTCTATTCTGATATAATACTCACTTGGCAACAATAGAGTAGGAGCCTGTGTCAGTGAGCTTGGCATCCTTGATGATGATCTTGTACACGTCGGAGGACTCCTTCACGATCTGGACCCTCTCCGAGCTCTTGATCTCCACACCGTCTTTATAGAAGGTCACCTCGGGTGCCGGCGTGCCGTCCACTTCGATGGTTACAGTATGGGTGGATCCAACCTAAGGAGGAACAGTTCCTTCTTTATATGAATATATTGTGTGAAAAATTAGAACGAACAAGTGAAATAAAAATAAAATAGTTGTGGTTTAATAAGGGACCATAAGGAACAACAAATAAAAATCTAATGTTATTTGGCAAAATTTATCAACACTACTTTTTTATCCCTGAAATATTTTTCACCGCCTCGGTAATTAGCGTTTTAGCACATCGTACCCCACATGGTCGCGGGTTCGATTTCTCACACAGTACAAACATTTATATGAATAAAATATTAGACATTTATTAAATTAATATGATTTTGCTAAATTAATAATCGTTAAGGAGACTTCACTTTTAAAAAAAACAAAAAAAGATAAAACAATATATCATATTTTTACGTATATGTGTTTAATCTACAAGAACTATATTTTCAATTTTTATAATGTGGCATTAAAAATATACACACAAATTCCTAAAATTTTACCCTTCTACCACCAACCCCAATTTTTATAGCGATATTACTATTTTAATTTATATGTCAGAACAATGTTTGCCGGGTCCGGCAGTAATTATAAAAAGACATTCCATTCACCATGCAGGACTGATTCTCTATCTTCTTCCTGATCTTGGGCGCCGCCTTGACGATGAGCTGCAGTGTGGAGGTGTCCTCCCCGAGCTCGTTGGTGGCAGTCACGTGGTAGATACCTGCATCAGCTGCCGACACGTTCTTGATCACCAGCGACATACTCTCATCATCTTCATATAGGAACCTTATGAATAAGAAAAGATATCGGATATTCAAAATCAAATTCAAAATATGTTTATTCATGTAGGTCTATTAGAGACTCCTATGATGTGTCAAATCTACCGTCAGTTCGGAATGATTTCGAGATGAGAAGAACTATAATAATAATAATAATAAATAGAATAAATATTCTACATGATATAATAGATAGATAAATTCTATATTCACAAATTAGAATCGCGTAGCATATATAAAGAACAGAAAAAATACATGAACAAATAAAAGAAATAGGCTAGGCTTTATCCGCATAGGTGAATAGGCAGCCAACTCAACATAAAGCTACAGATAAATTGCAGATTTATCATCAGATAATGATGATGAAAATTCATGTAATTTTACAAAATCTTGGACCTCTCCTATTAGGGTGGGGTCCTAGATTTCTAAATGTTTTACACAAACTTTGTACCTCCTTTATAGTTTGTTATGCAATGTCACACTTTTTCGACTCACCTTTAACGTGTGACAAAAAATATATGGACTCTTTTGAGCAACATTTATATTAAAGTAACAACTCACTTGTGCCTGGTGTCAGCCTCGATGATCTTCCCGTCGTGCTTGAACAGCACGCTTGGCTTGGGGAAGCCCTTGCACTGCAGCTCGAGCATAGCGGAGCCGCCAGCTGATACGATCGCCTCCCGATGCTCAATGACCAGGGTCGGCTTCTCCGGCTCCCGATGAAGTTCGTTCACAGCACCTGTTTGTATCAATCAGTAATACAATTCTTGTACAACTGTTATGGCAAAGGAGCTGTAAGAAAGTAGCGCTAATGTCGGATAAGTTGAAGAGTAATTGTCAATCGTGGTATGGCCATGTAATGCGTAGCCCCGTGTAGGAATGAAGAGAATATTTAAAAGAATCTGTTATGTATTACTGAGGATGGTTAAGGGCAGAAGAAGCCCGAACAAGAGATCAAACGGTGTGAAAGATGATATGGCAAGAAAGGTAGTGAATAACAAGATCTAAGCGCTTCCCAAACAAACTGACAAATTTCTTGTGAATTGTCCTCAATGGGTGAACTGATCTGAATTCGTATTCATCCCATCATCTTCCACAAGTGTCTGCCATTTATTAGTACCACCACCTGTTACCATGTCTGTTTTGTCACCAATCACGTTCCTACTTTTTAGTACTCTATCTAAGTCCATATCCTGTAGGACTATCCACGCAATTCTTTGCGGATGGTCATTGCATTGGAAGGAGAACTTAGTTACGACTGGCTGGAGGCTGCACAGAAGAGATCCTCCTATCATATCCTCATCTGATTATCCTACACTGACGTTACGTCAATGGTATACGATTAACGTAGGCAGGAACACCATTGGTATTTATGAAAGAAACTCGTTAGAAACCTCCATTATACGCACAGTCCAGTAACCCTGGACGGTAAACTTAGTCATCCTCTCCAGAGATTAAAACTTTTGTCATATCAAATCGTATAAAAATCTATTAAAAATATAATGAGAACCTACAACAACAGAAGAGACTCAAACAAAATTAATAAAAAAAGAACCTTGGACGGTAAGTTCAGCAGAGCAGGATATATTTCCAGTGGATGTTTTAGCAACGCAGGTGTAGAGGCCGGCGTCTTCTGGCTTAACATGCTGGAACACCAGCGCCAGCGAGTCCTCATCGTCGCCAAGCAACACCTGGACAAAACATTCTAAGTTAATATTTCACATCATCTGAAGCTGATACAACTCTATTTCTTATAAAAGGAGTGGCATCTAAAATTCTTGTCGATTATTCTCAGCAGAAACTAATTCTAGGTATCACTTGTAAGTCTGTACTCGAGATATCTATACTTATAAATAAAATTGGAGTGTCTGTTTGTAATATTTAAATAACCGTTTTTAACTACATGCATATGAATATAAATACGGTACATACACCAAAATAACATTTTTTACAATTTTTGCCTGTCTGTCGGTCTGTTTGTTCCGGATAATCTCTGAAATGGCTGGACCGTTTTTAAAGGGACTTTTTTTGGCAGGTAGCTGATGTAATAGGGAGTAACTTAGGTATAATTAACAAAATCAAAAAAGTGTACCTAAATTGTACAGGTATATTGTTTTGTTTAATTTGTCACTCGTTATTGAAGTAATTATTAATAATAATATAAGTTAAGTATATTATAGTGTAAATGAGAAAGAAGCACCTTGTCCTGAAGAACAGGCCAGATATATCAAATATTTATAAATTCACCACGTACGGGAGACAGCAGACTCCCTTTGTTCAAAACATTCCACCGTCCTCAGGTAGCATACACACCCGTTTACAGAAACTTCTAGAAGATGTTGTGTTACTATTAACACACAAGGTTACATGGGCACCGGCAATGAACATCCAGAAGCTTAATATTGTCGAAGATAGGGAGAAATGTCATATAACTTTACGATAACTATTGTATAACTTCATCAATCCAGACCAGCATTTATACAGATAAAACAGTTATTACTGCAATTACTGCATGAGGGGATATTCTTGTCTTGTTTTATATTATAATTCATTTATTTACCAATTCACTAGATGTGTTGGATTATTTGCTTGTTATTCATTCAGCAATTCAATAAAAGAGTCGGACTGTTGTTGTTATTGATTACATATTACATGGTATTTAAAAGTTCCAAAGAAATTTCCAAAAATCTGCATAAATACAAAGTGTGGAACTTTGTATTTATGCAGATTCTTAAATTACTTAATGGATTTATTTTATTTTATTTAATTTACAATTAGCATGTGTGAGACCACAACAGACTCGCCGTACAGTCAACACTAGGCTTCAAAACTCTATTAATTGCCTGAAGATGCCTCGTTTATAGGCGAAACATGTGGCGTAATATGGGCGTAGATCTTGTAACGGTTGGAGTTTTATCACTAGTGGGGAAGGTCGTAACATTCCCGGTAGCGGTGGTCAGGTTTCCGTACTAAATGTTTGTTCTCACACATGCTAATAGTCGCCAAATTAAAGAAAGTAGTACAAATCCAATGAATAATGATATGGACTTGGAATAACACCGAATTCACAGATTAAACCGATAATACAGATTCCTGAATTCGTACATCCTAATTTTTTTAGTAATAGTTTTTAAGATTTGATGAATACTATTGTATCATCTGGCACCGACCTGCCGGCCCCATGCAAGGTTATAAAACACCCCATGCAAGAGTTCCGTAAAAACTCGGTAGACTAATTTTGAACTCGGGCAGCGGAGTACGAACGAGTATGCCGACTTCGGTCCGTATCGCCGAGTGTTTGTGTACTTCCGTCGGACGATATCGTGTTTTTTGAAGGCTCTTCTTTATGTATGTACTGGTTTTTTTATCTGGTACAAGCTAGAAAAGGATATGGTCTGTAACTTTTTGTACAAAACCGTCCATGTTCATCTCTGTCTCATTTTGAGTTGCCAAGTAGTTTGTTTTGTAAGCTGTTTTGGATGTAGGGTGATATTACAGTTTATATATATAAATATATAGATATGATATCGTAGTCCTTCAGAATGACAAGAAGTGCCATCATGGATACCATGATGACGTGATGTAATTACGTAATGCTCTGTTCATGTATATAGGTGATGCTTATCACTTACCATCATGTTGCTATCAAACTTAAACTCAAAATTATTTATTAACAGGAATCTTTCGTTCTTTTGTGTATGTCATATTTTTTATAATTATTCCCTGCCGTACAGTTCTGCTAGCTAATTCAGTTTTTAAGAACTGGCAGGAATCTCAACTGATATATTATATCATGGATTAATATTTGATACCAGAGTTAAATAAAAACGAATCACCTACACGGTAATGGACTGCCGCAAAATAACACCTATCTAATTAAAAATACGAAAGTTTTATGAAGGACACTTACTTTGAATCTCTCTTCAGGGTCGAAGGCTTGTCCATCTCTCTTCCAGGTGAAGGTAGGTTTCTCACCCTTGGCCAATAGCCCTTCGCCACCAGGGGGCAGCTCGAAGAAGATATTCTTATCATCTGTTTATAAAGAAGTGATATTTCAGTTGTACTCATAGATATAGAATTACTATTGTACAACCTTTATTGTCTTAAGACTAACCCATAGACCAAGATTTGCTTAGTTTGGAACTAGAAGTTTATTTGCGGACAACGTTATAATTTATTTTTCATACTGCTTTCTTGATATATGATAGCGTAGCGGCTTTTGTATTGATTGCCGCATGCATTCTCATCCTAAGTGCGAATACTGTAACTACCATATAGTAATTTTTGTAGCTGTGACGTGGTCGAGTGGAATGAGTAGTCATTCTCACTAAAATGTCCAAACATGTGGCGGCGTGGTGGGCCGGGTCATTGGGCTCCCTAAAATATGGTCGAGCGCAGTGATGGCTAGCTCATCGTGAACGAGTGCTGCTTGTAGGGACTGGTCTGCTCTTATCACTACGACTGATTTAATCTTATTGTGTTTTTATATTTGAGCTAAATAAATTAGTGCTGGTTGGTAGTTTGTATTCACACGTTTCGACTTGTAAAATGTGAACTTACAAGGATTGTTTAAAAGAGCAACATACAAGTTTCTTGCTTATTCTTCTTGTGATGAGACAGCTTTCCGAATAACGGTAGATTTAAAAAAAATTTTGACTATTCAAAAGTGCTTAAATTAAGTTTATTTGAATAAATGATTTTCTATTCTATTCTATTCTAGAAGACACTGTGCAAATTGCCCAGCTTTAATTTAGAGTTCTTAAAATTTCTCTGGCTGTTGCTTATACAGGAGAGAAAGTAAATATCATTATATTAAATTTAAACAGTGCACCGTTTAAGAATCTTGAAGACGTTGTAAGAATCTTGAATCTTTTACATTAATGGTACAGTAGTTGTAAGAGAGTCTTGACCTTTGTACGATGTCTGTATTACATAATGTGGATAAAAAATGAAAGAACTACAAGTCCAATAAATCTGGAGACCGCAATCAGCTGGTCTCTCTATATTGAGAACCAGAACTATTTATAACTGCAAACGTCTCATAAAATAACTGGAGGCCGTCCAAACATCGTAAAAAATGTGGTACACATATATTTATAGAATATTGCGTGTGTTTATCATTCCTGAAAGCTGTTTCGATGACACTTCTCCAATCATACGAACGTCCGGTCAGTACATTAAAAAAATAATCTTCACTGATAAAAATTTACAGTTACGATGTCAGTCTTGTGGCCGCAACACATTTGTATGTCTGTGGGGTTATTTAATAAATAAATAAATAAATCTGGCGTTTACAGCTTCACTGGACGATAGGGGACGAGTGCAGATGACACTCCAAATCTGCCTAAGGATTTATGTAGCGGCTAAAGGCCAACTCCCGCCTGATGGATACGACTTTAAAAAAGCACCGCTAGCGGTTCGAACCTCGGATCAGGCCGTTGTAATTGGGATCCCTCGTAGACATGGATCGATCGGAGTAGCGCAATACTTTATCAAAAAATAATACAAAAACCACCGCACTACAGTCAATATATATATATATATATTTTGACGATTGAAATAAAAATAGAAAATGATTAACATACCTAACTAATATTATAAAGACGTAAATATTTTAACCAACCTTCATAAATTTGGCATCATTGTTTGATATGGAGAAAACTATACTATATTCAAGTTAATTAGACTCCTCCAAAGTGTGGCCAAAAGCTAATAAGTAATAAGGAACTTTGCCAAAAATAAACTGCTTTTACGTCGGTTTGTTTTTAAAGGTTGACCTATTAATATATAATTTTAATTAGCTTTGGCAGATGAAATGGCAACTGTTGGAATATTAATTAGTAAACATATTTATTGACGGCCTGGGTAGCCTAGAGGTTAACCGCTTTATTTCCGATGGTTCGGCGTCGATTCTCGCACGATATATACTAAACCAATGATTCCCAAAATGGTCTAATTCGACCCTCAGGGGTCTATTACAAACTGCAAGGGGTCTACGACAGCGGTTATCTTGTTGTTTTTACTTTATGTTTTTAACACTAAACTTTACTACAGTTAGAATTTTACAAAAAATCAATACCAGGTAGAAATGGCCCTTGCCATATTTTTCGACATCTATTGACATCGACATCAAATCTACGACACAAAAAAAGTTTGGGAACTACTACTGAAGAATAATTTATAATAAACAAACTGACCAACAACGGTGACAACGGCGTCGGATGCGACGTCGCCGTAGATGTTCTGAGCACGGCACGAGTAGCGGCCAGCATCGGACGCTACCACGTCAGCGATCACCAGCTCGTAGCAGCCCCGCTCTGCACGTGTGCGCACTATCTTCACACGCTCCTCCTCAGACGACACGATCTCTTTGTCATTGCGGTAGCTGGACAATTTCAAGAACATCTTCAATATCGTGTCAATATAATACTAATAAGTTCTTAAAAGGACACACTATAAATAAAATCAATTTTATAAAAAAATATACAAATACTAGCTGACTCGAAACGTTGTTTTGCCATATACATTAAAATCGGTATTTAAAAACATGGGTTGGTGATAGAAGGGTGAAAATTTAGGGTAGTATGTATTTTAAATGCCACATTATAAAAATTTTCAAATAATGAATTGTCCAAAAAAAATATTAGAGGTACCCTTATCACTTAGGGGTATTTAAAATAGATAGTAGCCGATTCTCTGATCTACTGAATATGCATATAAAATTTCATAAAAATCGGTCAAGTCGTTTCGGAGGAGTATGGTAGCTAACATTGTGATACGAGAATTGTATACATAAGATCACGGAAATTTACTTACAATTTCACCTCCGGGTTGGGATCTCCCTTGACCTTAACCATGAAGCGCAAGTAGGTATTCTGCATTATTTCTGTATCTTTTAACGCGACCAAAAAGTATGGTGCATTTAGCGCATTTTTTGCTTTTCTCTCTTCCGGAGTCACTAGAATATTTTAATAATAATTAATTGAAAATTATATTTATAGATTTATTGTACATGAAACGCTTATATACATGAATAGAATCACAGACTTCACGTTTATGTCTTGTAAAACCTTATGCGTAACATGAGAATTTTACTGCCATATCTGACCACTCAAATCGAAACACAGCTTAAAAAAGCATCAAGGTCCTTGGTAGTAGAAATAAATGAAGCAGAACCCACGTAGACTTTGTTCAAATTCTGAATCTGTAGGATATGGTGTAGGAATTAACATAAAATTAGCTGTCAGTGTACAATAAAATACTATACTGTCATGCACAAATAAATCTAGTGTATACGACATAAAATGCCTCCAAATATCTGATTGAGTGCCAAATACAGGAAAATTACGTGTAATTGTAATAACAGAGACTACTTGTTATACGCTTTACGATGTTTTAATTGATGATGTTGCCAAGAATCATGCATAAGTTGTGATTGAAGAACTTATAATAAGATCTACTTAAGTGTGTATTGTGTAGAACTATGTAAAAATGGATTGAGCATACTATGTTTTTGGTAGTCGGAAGAAATTGCTAAATTATAAAACATTGGTAACATTATATTTATTTCAGATATTAAGTGTCTATACGGAAATAAGCAATGATTGCATTATTGTTTAAACATAAAGAAACATATATGATATATTCAGGAATATATTATGCTATATTCCTTGATTGTTACATGTTTTATTAAAAGAAGAAACACGTTTATATTAAAACATTTTATAAACAATGATTAAAATCTTGGATATCTTTCAGTAGAATAACATTATTTGATTATGATCGATTTGAATAAAAATTTCTTCCAAATACTATTAGCTTGTTCAGATCCATTGAAATATAAAAGGAGCATAACTTACATTCATAGACGACTAACTGGGCGGTGCAATGGGATGTTCCTTTCACGTTTTCAGCCATGGCGGTGTAAATTCCAGAATCATCTTCCCGGCAATGTTGTAGCTCAAGTTTGTGGTTACCGTCCTTTTTAGACGATATATTCACTCGATCCATTAGACGATCAGTTAAAGGCTTATTATCTTTCAGCCAAGTGACTTTGACTGAGTCTGCAGACTCGCGGAGAGAACATTCAAATGTGGCTTTCTCACCCGCTGAGAAATCAAAGATTTGTTAGAGAAGAGTTCGTACAATATTCTTGTATTTTGAATTTAAAAGTGTATATGAAACATACGTGTTGACTGAAGATAATAGTAAATTGACTAAATAATTAAATTTAAAATAAGGTACGAACTCTTAATAGAAATTATGAAATTTTAAAAGCTTTGTTAGAGTGGTATGTAGTGTATGTTAATTTACTAAAAGCATATATACAGGCACTAAGAGGTGTGTCTACTTCCAGTTTATAGTGTGTATCTACTCTCATCGATATTGTACTTACGCTCAATGTTTTGGCCTTCCAGGGTTTTTGAGAACACTGGTTTTCCATCTTGCGATTCCGATTTCAAAACGGATCGGGTGGACTCATATTCACCAGTACCGATAGATCCGTTAGCGATAGCACTTTTAGAGTATTTGCTCTCATAAGCCGATTCGCTGTCATTAGTTCTTGAGTATTTAGACTCGGACTTGGATGAGATTCCTTCAATTTTATCGCCATCGTAACTGGCTTCAAGGCTATACTTTGATGATCGACCTTCGATTTTAGATTCAATACCATACTTTGATGCAATGTTATCAATTTTACTAGCGCTATCATAGCTAGACTCTATACCATACTTAGAGGCGATACTATCGATCTTACTAGCGGTATCGTATTTAGACTCGGTACTCGACTCAATCCCATATCCGGAACCTTCTAGCCTCGAACTGGAATATTTAGATTCATATCGAGAAGAGGCGCTTCCCTCGAGGGATCCTCCTGTTTCGTATCTTCCACTTTCCAAACGGGATCCGCTCTCCCGGCGCGAATAAGATGATTGACCAGTACTGTCATATGAGGATGATTCATAACGTCCGCTTCTACTACTGCTGGTGTACTCTGAAATTACAAAACAAATCTTGATTACATGTCTACATTTCAGAGACTATATTACAAATCTTTGCTCAGTAATCATAATTTTAGTGTAAAGAATATGAATATTAATTTCTAATACATTATGTCAATAAATACCTCCAGAAAGTCGAGAACTACGGCTATATCTTGACATTTCGTCCTCAATAGCCTCCTCCTTGGTTACAGCTTGATTGTTAATAGAAACTGTATCTGCCGATTGCGCGCCAGTTGCGCTAGTGATTACCCGTTCTTCAACTTTGACTTTTTCTTTACTTATTCCAGAACTTACTGATATTTGTTCTTCTGTAGATACAATTGATTTAAGAGTTTGTTGATTTAGTTCTGATTGAGATGTAGCAGAATAAGTTTTTGCAGAATTTTGTACTTCGCTAGCAGAAGTAACTTCAGTTACTTCCGACTTGGAGATCTTATTTGCAACAGATGATTCAAACGAAGCCTTTCTTTTAGCTTTTAATTGTTCCAATGATTCTTCTCTAGTGCAAACCTTTACGATCTCACTACTAATTGATTTAGCCTCACTATCTTGTATCTGTTCTTTACTATTAGCCTGCTCTGTTAGTAGATTAACGTCTGTTTGCTTCTTTTCATTCAATTCTTGTGTTTCAACTTTTGTTGTCTGTACCTCTTCAACTTTAGACTGCTGTTTTGTTTGTAATTCAAGGCTGGATTCTTTATCTTGTACAATTTCTGTATTAAGTTCGTCCGCTACTATTGTAGTAATTACGGAATTTTTGTTTTGACTATGTTGAGTTTCATCAGAAAGTGTATATTGTTTAGTTACAACTTCTTGGGCGTTTGTTAAAGTTTCTTGTTGTGATTTATTTTCCTGTTTAGATTCTACAGTAACCTGGACATGTTCGATACAGCTTTGTTCTTGAAGTTGATTAGAATCTGTCTCTATAGAAACTTTAGTGCGACGTGATTCTTTGATTTGATGTTCGATTCCAGTTACTTGAACGTCGTTTTTTAAATTTTGTGACTGTGATTGTTCTGTCAACTCTGTTTCTATAGATACTTGACTTTCTGTCCCTAAATTAACAACATGTGTTTGTGATACTTCAGCTTGTAATTGGTTACCCTGTATTTCATATGTCGATGAAAGTTGTTTGGAACTTTCTTTACTATTTAGGTCTGTAACTGTAGATTCTTGTACTCGAGAAAGTTGCTCCTGAGTATTTTGCTTGGTCTGGTTAACTACTTCAGTAATCTGTATTTCTTCAATTTGAGCTCTCGTCTCATGAATCTGTTGCTGTGATTCTGTTTGTACAGACGACTGATTTATAGTTACGTCTTCAAACTTTTCTGTTTGTGTTATTATTTGTACTTCATCAACTCGTGCCCGCTTTTCTTGAACTTCCTGTCCAGTAGTTACTTCAGTGACTTCAACTTCTTCGACTCGGGTCCGTTTCTTTTGAATCGCTTGTCCTGTTTCTGTTTGAACAGAAGCTTCAGTAATTTCTTCGGTGCGACTTCTTTTCTCTTGAACTTCCTGTACGTCTTCCGTGCGTTCTCTTTTCTTTTTGTTCGCCTCTGGTGGTTCAGGTGAAGTTATTTGTGGTGAGAGTACTTGTAGATCGTCAGCTGCGTGTTCAGCTAATGCGACTGTAAATCAAATAAATTTAACATTAACGTTCTGTTATTTTTAATATATTGCAAATAATAAAATGGGCTAGTTTAATATTAAATACTGTATATTCAAAAACAAAATATAACTTTATAATAACAATGGTATGCTAATATACATATAAATATTATTATATTATATATATGTTTGCCGAGCAGAAAAATGGTTGAGTTTGTTTTTGTAAGTAACGGATTTCACTTACCAGTATCACTGGCGTGCTGGCCGATCTCCGCTAACCAAGCGGTCTTCACTTGCTCCTTATGCGCTGCGAGTGTTACAAGCTGCGGTGATGACTTCTGATGTATTTCGAACCTCAACCGATCATCTGGATGGTCCTTGACCTCGGCCTCTGGAAGCTGAGTAAAAGAATTCTCAATGAAGTAATGTGAGTCGTCTTTGGCTACCAGCCAAACATAAATGGATGTTTTCATAAATGCAGCTATTTTCGTACAAGGAAAGTCAACATTATCTTGATAATCGTAGGTTGTAAACACAATTGAAAATATTTTATACTTATATGTAGTATCTTTAGAGATACATAGAAAAGTGTTGTAAAAGTGTTATAAAGGAATAGAAAATATTTGAAATCGTGTCGTTCGCAAAACTTAAGATGTCCACATTTTTCCGAATATATTCTAAAGTAACGTGATAACTATCTATCAAATTGGTTTGTAATCAGTGATTGCTATCTTAGGAAGGTATTAGAAATTTAATTTCAGACATAACAGAAATGAACCTTACTTTGATGATATCCTTGAGAACGAACACTGATCTGTCATCAGAGACCTTCTTAACTTTGCAGATCAAGATCCTCGCTTTGAAGAGGAAGAGATACCTCTCCTTGGCCTTGCTCTCAACGTCAGTGACTGTAAACCAGTCGTGGGTGAGGAGACGGCCGAGCTTGTAGATGTTCCCCCGGTAGCCTTCGATGCTAGCGATGAACTTGTTGTCGGTAGCGCGATTAGGGACCGACAAGAAGAGTTCTAAGGCCTTCTGGATGTCAGTGCAGTCCTCGCCAAGTTTTTTTGAGTACTTCACTAATTCCTTGAAAGGAAAAATGTTTATTTTAGTCAAAATTTATGCAGGTTGTGTTGATACTGATAGTTCTGACAATAAACTTAAACTAGTTGAGTTTCTTGCCAGTTCTTCTCAAGTGAAGTAGCTAGCCAAACTATACGGTAAAGAGAGTGACAAAAAATAAGACGTGCACAAGAAGCGGAAGGGTAATTGTCAAAAAAAAATTTTTACTTTGAGCTTACACATAAAAAATACCCAGCATTTAGATATTAAACTATCTTGTCTTTTTCACAAGATCTATCTTCGTTTGAAAATAATAAACAATATGTTGGAGACGGTGGTGGAGGACCTATGTAATTTTTAGATTTAGTATAATATATACCTTCAGTAGTAGTTGGTAGTCGTTTATTCTCTGTATTGGTAACTTGAGGTGTTCAGTAATGCCTTTGTCGTCGCCGAGTTTATCAGCAAGTGCCTGCAAATAACAAGACCAATCTGTCATTTTAAGTATAAAACTTTCATCATCTGCTACTTCCTGATCCCATTCATTTAGGATCGGCGTATAATACGTAAGTTTTATCTTCAAGTCATCCCATTATTTACTCCCTTTCTTGCTATATCACGTTCCACACAGTCCATCTATCTCTTTGTCGGTCTTCCTGTGCCCTTATATCCACATACATTATTTAAAAGTAATAGTTTTTTTAACTAACGGTTTACGCTGTTGGGGCACCAGTGGAGGATGATCGGATGAGCATAAAGTTTGTTAGCACATCGTGACAAATTCACCAAAAATTTATCATAGTGGGTTCCAGGGGGAACTGCGTGGAAGTCAACATGAAATAGCTCATTGTCAGGAATAGGGTCATCATCATATAATATACTCATTAATTCAATTCATTCTTCATTGTAAATTATTTAATTCTATTCTATATACAGTTTTTTGTCTGTTACTACCTTAAGAAGGACAATAAATTCCCTAAAAGAGCCAGTCTCTGACTCAGATCTCAAGAGTTTAAAAATAATTCAAGAATGCTTCTTTACGAAATGCAAAAATGATTACTGCTCAAAGCGATGTTACAAACAAGCAATCCTTTTTTGAAAATACCCGCGCACAGAGACATCCCAATCAATCAGTTACGGAGATAAAAGTCATTAAATCTATTACAGATGAAAAGTAAATTAGTGATCCGACAGATCATTAGCATGACGTTTTAATTATTTGGCACTGAACCAGAAGCAATCACTGGGTGTATTGACAACGTGTAGCTAATAAATACAGATTAGAAACCACAAAATCGCCATAGAGATTGGACACGAATCTATATATTTGTAAAGCTAGTTTGTTTGTTTGTACGCGCTAATTTTCAGAGCAACGAGGATTGTTTGTATTGCAACCTACATACATCTATAGTGCTTGCCCTTTTTCAATGTTCGTTACCTAGACTTGTAAGGGACAAGAATTGTTGGATATTCTTAGAAGCGATGGTTTTTATCTCTTCAGGATAGTGTGTACTTACCAACGGAGATATTTCGTTTATGCGTGAGTGGGCTACTACCATATAGGATGTGTAGTGGCATTTTCTTTTTAGCTTGGCAAAATCTGCAGATTTTTGTTGACCACAGGCATAAGTTTTTTAGGTGTTTATTTAATTTACAGTGTCCAGTGAGGGCCATGGTCATGTTGGATCATGTTGCATATATTGGTTTTACTAAATAGCATTAGTCTATTGGAGTATTGATTCGTGTAGTCAGTTATTAGGGCTTTTGAATGTAATGCTGGCATTTTCAGCCAGTGATTCAGAGCTTCCTGTTTGGTTATTAGTTTGAGATGTCCCAGTTTTAGCCAACGAGGCACGTCACAGGAGGTTTATTATTAAGTATGATATGATCATTAGGAGGCAAAATGGAAAAAAGTCTAAAGGTACGTTAAACTTTAAAAAAGGCAATGCAGCGAGGAGGGTCGTGGGACATGGGTGGCTCGCATAGTATTCTATTATTTAAAAGAATATATTGTCATACATCAGTACAGTACATTCAGTTAGTGTATGGGGTTTAACATATTGCCTCACCACAAGTTCAAGTAAGATTGTTCGTATTAATTTAAGTCTTCTCATTTGTTTGTAATCTCGGACAGTGCACACAGCGCCATCTATTTCCAAGTTAAGCTAGCTAAATTTTGTATTATGGGTACTAAATAACTGATACAAATATATAGATATTTTTTTCGTAAATAAATACATATTACACATAGAAAACACCCTGACCGATACAAACAATAATACTCATGAATACAAATGTTTGTGCTGTGCGTATCGTGGTGTCGAACCCGCGACCATCGGAAGTAAGGCACTGTGCTAAATCGCTAGACCACCGAGACCGTTATAAAATTCATTTACATATGTTCATTCTGTTATACAGACACTTTATACTATATTTCGCGAAGAGAAATAATAAAAAATTGTATACCGTTTATTTTTTTTACAATACAAGCGTATTGACAAATGACTTTCAGCCTAGGAACAATGCATTGGTTATTGTTACCTAACTTCCAGCTGACTCATTCATACTCTATGGTAATGCGTAGGAATAAACAAATCATGTTTCAAACATTGACATGAGGCTACACAAAGCACTGCAGCGCTGTAAACCATCGTACAGATATAGAACGCCTTGACACGATGAGTTAGTTCGAATCTTGTGTTTCTAATAGTATGCTGCTCTCATTTCTGTTCCCAATTCTATAGTTTTTGTGGAAAACTTAGAAAAATATTATAAACGCGAAAGTTTGTAAGTATAGGTGGATGTTTGTTACTCTCTCACGCAAAAACTACTGAACGGATTTTGATGAAACTTTACTGTAACATAGTTTATATATCAGAATAACACATAGGCTATAATTTAATAAAATATTATGTAAATTGGGCGAAATGTAATGATAGATCTCAGTGTCAGTGTTATGTCAGTGTAATGCAGACGATAACGAGGGACAGCTCATACATTTCGTTTATATCATATATTTTTTAATATACCTTCATGACGGTAACTGGCGTGACGGACCTGGCATGGCACTCTTCGCTGAGTATATTTTGAATATATGTTTTTTTTTTGTTGTGGCTGTTTTACAACCAAATTAGATACATGTCATCAGCCCACTGCAGTCCACTGCTGGACATAGGCCTCTCCCAAAGCACGCCACTGGGCACGATCTTCAGCCCTTCTCATCCAGTTACTACCCGCAACCCTACGTATGTCGTTGCTACACCTAGATGCGGAGCGTCCTTATCTATACATCTATACATATAAATAAAATTGGAGTGTCTGTTTGTAATATTGAAATAACCGTTTTTTACTACAGGCATAGGAATATAAATACGGTACAAATACCAAAAAACCACTTTTTACAATTTTTGTCTGTCTGTCTGACGGTCTGTTTGTTCCGGCAAATCTCTGAAATGGCTGGACCGATTTTGACGGCACTTTTTTTTGGCAGGTAACTAATGTAATAAGGAGTAGATTAAGCTACCTTTAATTTAGGAAAATAAAGTTAAATTCCACGCGGACGAAATCGCGTGTACAGCTAGTTTAGTACATAAGACCAATATTAATGTAAAATTAGTTAGTTCTTCTGTATCATACATCGTTTAAACCGACAACATCGTATCACTATTCCGCAAAACCTATCTACATTTACACCAGTAATGGCCGAGTGAATTGTCCAGGATAAAAAACAAATTGGACATTTTAATAAAAAAAACTCACAAAACACTATGCTATTTTGAAATATAAACCTATTGTTCTTGTTATAATGTTTACCAGATGTTTATTTTATATAAAGTCGTGGTTTAGCATACCGCTTTAGTGTCGATGATCGCAAGTTCGATTCCTGACACAGTATAAACATTTCATGAATAAGTGTTTGCATTGTTGGTCTGGGAATTTTCTATGTATATATTTTTTCAGTTTTCCCCGGATATAAATTTACAGGATAAATTTTTTTTTTACACTTTTATACAATATAATGTTTACATTTATCTACCTAATAATTTACATACAGACTATTTCTTATATTATCTTATTCTAAGTATATTATGTATGTATTTACAAAAACAACATGTTTAACTATTTCTATTAGTTGTCTAATACCAATAACACAAGTTTTTTTTAACTTGGGACTAGATGACACTGTGAATTATCTAACAATACTAGTAGTACAATAATACTCGATCAAATGGTGTTTGTTCAAGACAATTTGAACCTAAAATAAATATAAATATTTTGTAGTATATATTTTCGTTTTGTAATGGCAACAATTAACAATTTAAAAAAGATTAATTCAAACTGTCACTCCCCCCTTTCTGTTTCTAACTATCAAGCCATACACACTGTACTCCTGTAAATCAAATATAAAAAATACAGTCCAAATATAATAAAAGCATATGTTGTTTTATTAATCTAACAGTGTTCGTAGTGATGTTTAGAAGTATATAATAAAAATAATAAATTATTTATTATATTATTCTAATTGCGTTTATTATGACATTGATGTCATAATAATTGGCTCATGATATCATTTAATGTTAGACATAGACACCTATATAAATACTTCTACATTGTAATAACAGGCTTTTTTAAAAAATAGTAATTCAATTGAGATTCTTGCCAGTTCTTCTCAATTGGATTTATATACTTTACTGAACGGTAGGGAAAAATTAGAATATGAAGAAAATACGTTCATAAGCGGCTAAAATGTCCGACATGAATAAATGATTTTTGATATTTGAATTTTGAATAGTATTTATATATTAGTCACAATGGTCAAAGGTAGTTACATCAACAGTTATATAGGCGACAGTTTCCACTCACCACGTGGTACGCAGTCAGCTTGTTTACCATTCTAGTTACATAAAAAAAATGTAACTGTTTCAGATTTTTCACTTCAGAGTTTTCGGTGATGTAATATAGAATTGGATTCGGAACATTTCCTATCAGAAGCTAAAAACTTCGATCTACCACAACTATACTAATTTTATAATGCACCAGTTATTTAATGCAACAAATAATATTTAATATTATCTTATCTACCTATCCTATATTTCATATTATCTTATCTATCTACCTATCTATCTATATCTATTAAAATGCACCAGTTATTTAATAAAAGAAATAAAAATCTTATCTTATCTATCTATCTAATGGATACTGAAATTTCTACCGTATTTGTTTTGAGAAGGTTAACGTCTATTTATTGGTTTGTAAGAATTCAAATAAATGTCTTATCTATCTATCTATTTATTTCTTTATCTAATCTCTTTTCATCTATTAATCTAATTTATAGACGAGACAAAAAGTCTCGTTAATTACTTTTAAATGTTATTATAAGCAGCAATTGTATTAGTTTTTTATTTGAGACAAATAAATATGATGATTATTATTATTACTTCTAGGTGTAATTTTAAATGCAAACAAGTATAA